CTCTCTCTCTCTCTCTCTCTCTCTCTCTCTCTCTCTCTCTCTCTCTCTCTCTTCTTCAATCTTTCACTTCCTTCCTGCCCATCAGATCTCAGCTTAGAGATGGCTTCATCCCAATACCTTTGTTTAGCTTACAGTGGGAAAAGGAGAGCCCTAAATTCATATATGCAGCACCCGCCCCCAGGTCAGGGCCCAGAGAAAGCACTGAATGGCTAGGGAATGAAGGAATTCACTCCAGTTCCCCGCACACACCTGGTGCTCTGTCAGGGTGGGCTTTCTCCTGGATACAACTGTATTCCTTTCTCAGACTGCCTTTCTAATTACAAATGAACCTAGCAAACAGAATGACATGAAACCCAAATGTGAGATCTTCTCTCCTCCTAGGAAAATCCCCAATTTCATTCAGGTGAAAATGTAACAGCGACCATTGGCATGCCACGTTACCCTCAAAGTGTGATTCTTAAACGAGGATGTTAATGGTGAGTGGGGTTTCTGCAATACTAAGATTCTATTTTTACATTTCAGGTTGATCCAAAAGGGGGATGTAAAGTTGAGCTGGTGTTTAGCACAGAACACTACAACCAGGAGGTAAGCCACAATTAGTGAAGGAGGGTCTTAGTAAGTTCTATGAATACACTAAAAAAAGCGAGTCCTATTAAAGCCTGGAGGCTTTGTTCTAATTTCCCTCCTCTGTTTTCTGTTTGTTCCAAGAACTGAAAAACAGCACACAGAAAATCAAGATTCAACTATTTCAGCTTTATAGCCTTATGCAGTTGCATTTAAAACCATCTCCCCCTCCTCAGGGCCCCCGGGAGAGAATTTCACAGCTCCCTTTGCTACCCTTCCTCGCACCTTGGAATGACTCACTCTCAAATGCCAGCGTGTCCTTTCCTGTCAGCTGGTGACATTTCTGGTTACAGGCTGGCCTTGCGTGAGGCCAGTACCGCAGCTTACATGGATGGGACGTGCCGCAGAAGCCAGATCCACACCCATGCCTGCTGCAGGCATTATTAGCCACACTGCAGTGGCCCCCATGTTTTGCCAAATGTGCTGTACTGTGTTTTCAAGAAGAAAGTAAACAGAAAACACACGTGGAAGTTAGAGCCAAATGAACTTCCAAATGCTGGACCAGTCCGGGAGGCTACAACCAGAGCAGAGTGGAGAGAACAAAACAGATTTTTTTTTAGTATTATTCATAGTCCAGTCAGTCTGGGAAGCGCAGGCAGCATCCAGCATCAAAGTATCTCAGGAAGGCAGAGATGTAGAGACAAAGGGGATACCCCAGGCCATGCTACTGGAAGAGTGCTTTCCAGCGCACAGAAACAAGTCCCAGCATGACAACGGTATACTCGGACTGTGTGGCTGAATAATAAGCCAAGGATTCAAAGTTTCTTAATAGATAAGGAAGATGTGTTTGATTTCTAATGTTGCAAACTGAAAAAGCATTAGATTAAAGTTAAAGGGAAAACGATTACTAGCTTACTTTGACAACAATATGTTCTTTGGGAGTTGCTCCTGTAGGTACATTAAGCACACAGCTGGCTAACTGAAGTGCTCCATTTCAGGAGGAAGATTCTTTATCTTCAGGCAGCTGCTTTGTTTCCATGGAAGTGTTGGGGGGCAGGGATGGACTGCAAGATAAAAAGGGGTAATATCATACCTGGTTCTTTCTGTCTTCCCTGGAAAGAGCTGGCAACAAAAGAGAACATATAGGAGCCCTGCTTTCTGCCTATGACATGCCTCTCCCTGGAAAGCCCTTTCACCTTTTTTTCTATTTTGTACTAAAAGTTAGTATTCCAACGCACCCTGAATTTCTCATTCACTCAAAACTGGCACTCAGAGGGGAAAGTTGCCCGTTGGGGAAGCTATTTCAGTTTTTTCTTAGTTATTAAAAAAAAAAGGCTTATTAAGCAGATCTAACTTTTATTATAATTTGTGTCCTGGACATTTTATTTCTGGTGATGGTTTTAATTGGGACTCCACACATTTAAACAATTGCAAAAGTGCAAGGAAAGTTATTGCCTCAACTGGTCAACCAATCACATTTTAAAAGGAGATACGAGGGCTGGGGATTTAGCTCAGTGATGCCGCCACCTGCCTAAAAAGCACGAAGACCCGAGTTTGATCCCTGGTACCACAACAAACAAACAAACAAACCACAAAACAAAACAACTCCCCCTGCCCCCCAAAAAACAGGAGATACTGACTAGGGGTCCATGGCTGGGTTTGGGTAGAACATGAACCCTTCACACTGAAGACCTCTAGTTGATGGGATGAGCAAGTGCATTTTTCTAGGAATGAATTCCCCGTCTTTTCTTTGTGGGGTTAAGGAATCTATGACCAAATATGTGAAGAACAACTATCCTAGAAAAGTCATACATGCGATGCTTAGTTGAGGCTGCCTCTGGATTGGAAATACGTTAACAGTGGCCCCAGAATTCCAAGTAGATCTCCATTTAATTACAGAGAAGCATCGCTCAGGTTGTTGAGTCACCTATGCCTCCAATGTTGGATTGATCTCTGGGCAGAGAGGTCAAGTTACTTTTTTTTTTTTTGTACTGGGGATTGAACTCGGGTCCTTGCACTTGCAAGGCAGGACACCGAACCACTGAGCTAAATCCCCAGCCCACGAGGTCAAGTTACTAAAGGAGTTAACAGTTGAGCTCAGATGAACAGGAGCTCAAGCCTTCGCTTACCACTTGCCACTTACATTCCATGACTAGTGAGTTATAGAGAAGGTTCCTTTTGAAATTTCAGTATCTTAGGTGTTTATTGAAATCAGACAGTATAATTTATAAAACAGCAAGAATGTTTCTTTTGTTGGTAGCAGCCAGCATCATCTTTTAGCTTAAGTTAGTTACTTTAACGTCCAACTAGGCATTATGCTGGTCCACAGCAGAGAGTGAAGTACCCACCATATTGGAGCCAGACAATACCTAAATATCAATGATATATAGGGCAGGGGATTTAGCTCAGTGGTGCTGCCACCTGCCCTACAAGCACAAGGTCCAGAGAGTGATCCCTGGTACAAGAAAAAAAATCACTGTCTGTAAGTGTATTAATGCCAGAGTACATGCCGTGCACAATGACCTTGTTCCAATCTTGTGTTTATGTGCACTGGGGTTTGCGTGTGTGGCTGTGCATGGTAAGGAACAATCCTATCGAATTCCAAAATCTTTGTTTCAGGAAGGTGAGGAGCGTTTGGGGAAATGTTCTGCTAACGTGTTCTTCAAGAATCAGAAACCCAGACCAGCCATTAATGTCACCTGTACAAGGCTCGTGGAGAAAAGGAAAAGACAACAGGATGATTACCTGCTTTACAAGCAAATGAAGCACCTGAAGAAACCCTTGGATGCAGTCAGCATACCTGGTAGGATTAGTATCTGTAATTTCTATATTTTGGAATTACTAAATCTTAAAGAATAATTAAACATTTATGCCTGAAGTGGCACTTAATACTTCAAGTACAGATTGTGGGGTGCCTCACTATTTACTTTAAAAGTAAACTTGGAGATTTCTTTTTCTGGTCTTCATCTTTAGTACAGTTTAGTTATCCCCACCAAAGGCTATTGGGGTCTCTTTATCTCTCCATTTAAAATCCCAGAACATGGGTGCAGCATGAGCTGAACTTCCAAGTAAAAGGTAAGGAGGTCTTTGCAGCTGGGCATGCATACTAGGGTACAGTTTTCCAGGTCAGTTCAAGCCTGAAGTGAGATTTCTGGAGATTTTGGGTGGTAACCTTGGAACGTTAGCTAACAAGATACACTCCGGTGCCTCTGCTGTGCCCTACATACCAGGGCCAGCCGAGGGGCTGTCTCATCGTTCTGGGTACAGCAGTAGAGTCATGTTTACCTCATTTCAGGTCAGCAGCTCATGGGCAGCAGTGCCATCTCTAATAGACAGGCCCTGCCCTCTGCGATGACTCAGCTGAAGTGAAGCACAGCTCATTTGTGCTGGCACTCCACAGTGAGTGGGCAGGTGTCGGGACTCGGCACTTACTGGCAAATCCAATTTTCAAAACCACAAAAGCAATCTCTGGACTTGCACAACTTGGGAATTAAGCTTGACATCTGACCACACACTCTCCCCATTTGCTCATCTGCCCAGCTACCCTGAGACCACGGCAAACCTACTGCAATACCCAGGGAGCTGCAGGCTCCATTCCTGCGTTGAGTGTATCTGGGCCCCATCAATTCAGTGATACTCAGGAAATGTTTTTAAAAATCCAGAAGAGGAATACTGCCTCTTGTGTTTCTACAATTCAGTGTCTTGGATGATTTTCATTGCCAAAGAATTATGAAAAGCAATTCAGACACTTACATTGTAGTAGAATGTGTTTATACTTAGTCATCAGCTCACTTAAAGCAGTACTAATACTTGGAATCTGTCGTTATTAGGGATTTTTCCCCTTATTTAGGGAAATAGGGCTTATCTAATCTCCTTAAAACACACATTCAGAAATTGCAGAGGTCATTTACTTTGAATAGTTGCCACAGGATCAGTAGATTTTTGAATACTTCAATAGCACAGGTTAACTGGATCTTGTTCAGTTAATACATCTTACGTTCTCATAAGGATTGTTGTATAGCAATTTGGCTGCTATGAAACTTCAAAAACGTTCAACAGAGGCAACTTCTCATTAACAAAGCTCACAAGTCTGTTCTCATTGTAAATACAACAGAGACACTTAGTGATGCTATTTACAGCCTGTCTGTGTATGAAAACTACTTCAAACTGAAAAGGTTCGAGTTTAGATAAAGTGAATCAAACCTATGGTGCTATCCTTGGAGTAGCCAGTTCGAATTTTAGCATATTCTATTTAGCATTCAATCAATCCAAGGTATTAGACTATTGTATAACTGGTAAGTTGAGAGTATTTTGTTCTTGTTCCACATTGTTTTTTCCCTTTAAAAATTAGTCATCTTGTTTTTATTGAGTAAAAATATCACTTCTACTGAATTCATACCATCCCATAAATGACCAAGCGTACTAGATACAGAGGAAAAGACCAAGAGCTGTGAATGACCAGCTAGAGTTGTCTGGGCATCTTTTCAAATGTCCTCACTGTTCACAGTATTCAGTGTAACTCATTTATCTCCCAAGGTAATGGGTTTGGATATCAAATCCAGACTTATAATAGCACTGTAAGATGAAATACATGATGGTGAATTGCAGGAAGTTTTCAATCAGTGAAGACAAGGACGATGGAAACCTCTCAATAGTAAAACAAGGAAAAAATGTTTATGTCACTGTTGACCTCACTCAGAGTCTTGCATTACCTAATGTTCTACAATCTTAATGGTTCAGCTGTTCACACAGGGAGAAATGATAGATTCATTCATAAAACACTGATGCTGTTGTCAGAAAGCAGAAGTCTAAAACATACTTTCTACAAGAACATTTTTTCCCCTCCCTGGTACCAGGACCTTGCATTTGTGAGGAAGGCACAGTGCCACTGAGCTCAATCCACAGCCCTTACAATAACATTTTTAAAAACAGTCACAACTCCCTGCTAATAACATATGCTGGCAGCAAAACAACATAATCACACTAAAGAGCTCACAGACAAGTTAATGAGCATTGTAGTGTTCGGTCCTTAGTGTAAAGGCATCTGGGTGTTACTTAATAGGAAACCTGGGACCAAAAACTTACAGGAACCATGGAATATAAAATGACGATAGTGCAGGCTGGGAAAGTAATACCTTTCTTCTTTATCCTCACACATGTTCCCCCCTGAGAGTACCCTTCAAATGCTGGGCCCTCCTTGCCACTCAGTATTCATTCTGAATTCTTACGGCACTCCACTAACAACTGTGCAGAAGCTTTTCCATTTCCTGGGGTCCAGAACGTACCCAGGCCACTCACACCCTGTGAAGAGATGGTTTGTCTGCTGCTTTACTGAGACAGAGAACGTGCTCCTGCAATCCCTTCTACCTCAGCGATCCTCTGTGCCTTCCCCATGTCCTTTACGCTAAGGGCCCTTTTGTTGACATACCCTTCATTCTAGTTTCTGTGACCTGTGACTTCTTCCATGCTTCTGCCCCATCAATTTCCTTCTAATTTCTGGACATCTTTTTTGTTTTTGTACCGGGGATCAAACTCAGGACCTCGCGCTTGCTAGGCAGGCAGAACCAACTGAGCTAAATCCCCGGCCCTGATTGCCTTCTAATTTCTAAAAACTTCTACCAGCTCCTTGTTCTGCCCTAGAATGACAGTCAAAGCCAGGCGCCTTGTTGACCAGTTACAACACAGATTCATCCCATCTCCTTCCTCATTTTTCTCCTCTTATAAAGTAGACTCTGTATACATTGTGGCATCCTCAGCCTCCTCCTACCTGGCTTCTATACTATGTACACAAGTGAAACTGTTGTATCTTGGCTCACCACAGACCACCCACATCACCCAACCTCTTCTCCTCCATTTGTCTGTAGTGGTTTGCATCAGGTACTGCTCCGTGTTTGTAACACCGTCTTTAATAACCTACTACCAAACTCACACAAAAGGCTTGAATATTTGACCTTTATTTATTTAATAGCATTACTATAGTATTGGTGTTCTCCTAAATTTGGCTTAAGAACTTTGGTCATTATAAACTCACCTCCTAACATTTAATGATTTGCTGTTTTCTATCGAGCCTACCTCCACAAAGCATTTGAACCCATCCTGTCTTGGTCAATGCCACTGAAAGTCCTTCATGCCTGTGGTACATCTTCCTAGGACTACTGCAGTAGTCTACCTGCCGTGTCAGATTTTATTCTTCTCTAAACTGTGGCCCGGTGGCCTAGGTTATCTTCCTGCACTTACGTACTGAATTCAAGTCCCTACCCTGGCACGGCATACAAGGCCATCCACAGTACGGTGCCAGTGTATTTCCTTCAGACCAGCACTGTATCTGCTCCTACCCAGAGCCCTCTGGTCTTGGTGCGCTCACTCTCTCACTTGTGCTTCTACCCCTACACCCATGTACACAGCAGGGGTGCAAGGCCCAGCAAAATCTCACCTCTTTGAAACCTTTGCACAGCTCTATAGCATAAAGAAAAACCTCTCTGATATCAGCTCCCTCCTGTTTTACAAAATGCACCAGCTGTGTTTTCTAGCCAAGTCAAGTTCTACTAATAAACAGAATTTATCCTAAAAATTATTTTACCAAGAATTGGTTTCCTAATCAGCTAGCAAGTATTCCTCACATAATGTGAATTACAGGTCTTTCCACTAAATTGCATAAAGTGATCCATGAAGTTATAAATTAACTACTAAAATTTGAATTTTTAAAAGTCCCCAAAACTAAATAACCATTGTATTTCTGTTGCGGCTATTTCGATATTATGTAGGTTTAAAAATATTTCAAATGAAGAAGACATCAAGTCCACAGACCATGCTATCAGAAAAACCCAACTGATTTCTTCAGGTGTTCATAAAAGGAGAAAGACTGCCAACACATTAATTAGCTTTAAAGCCAATAATCAGAGAAGGACAGAGATACCTACAGATTTGGAGTTCACTAATCAACGTTTTAACCTAATTAGTAGTGCTGCTCAACAAAACTGTAGATGGACTTTTAGTATCGTCATGGCTCTTGTTCTGTATTATAGCACAGTGCATCCATTACATTGTTTTGTAGTAGATTTACTCAGCGTGGCAAGGTGAAGCATACAGTCTCCATAGAAACAGACATGAGGAAGTCACATGTCTATCTCAAGGTTTTACCGTGAAGGAGATGAACTGATACGACTAAACTTAAACTTTTTCATTACTGAAGCTTCTAAAGTTTTGTCTCAGAAAGTGCCTAAATTCAAATGTGCTTTTTTCTTCCCTCTCAGATAGCCATGGATATGTTGACCCCTCACTGAGACCCATCTGGGACTTGGCTTTTCTTGGAAGCTCTTACGTGATGTGGGAAAAGACGAGTCAGTTTTTACACTACTACTTGGTCCAGCTTAGTAGTGTGAAGCAGTGGGTAAGGAATCTGAAAAGTAACTGGATGAGAGATACAACCGATGCAGTGTTCTCAGACTAATGTGAATTTCTAACTCCATGAAAGCTTTGATTGCATTTCATTCCTTTAACAAATATTGGAGTGCCTGCAGTGGGCAAGGTATTGCTGCGGGGAGTGGGGATGTAACAGTGAAAAAAACAAGACTGCTGTCCTCACTGAGAGCAATTCTAAAGGAAGTTCAGACAGTGAACTAATAAATATGTATCAAATGGGGTAAATGGTATGGAGAAAAATAAAGTAGGAGAAGAGAATGCACAGTTTTGATAGAATGACTACCTGTATAGTCTAAAAGCAAGGCTAATTTCAGCAGAAGTGATATTGAAGAAGGAATTGAGAGGGAGCTGAGACCCCTAAAGGGATGAGACTTTTAGGCAGGGGAAAGTGAGGCAGCAGCCCGGCTGAAGAATTTGAGAAATGGCTATGAGGATAGTGTGGTGAGCAGAATGAGCAAGGGGCCTGCACCAGGGGATACAATCAAAGGGAAGGCAGGTGGAGAGGTTCTGTTCATGCACAGCCTGGGAGGCCATTAGAGGGCTTTGTCCTTTATTCTGTCTTCCGCCTACTGGGGTTCTTAGCAGAGGAGTGACACACAGAATCATTATGGCTGTGAACGGACTGTGGGAGGATAAGGAGGAAGCAGGAGGACCAGCAAACACTGCAGTAACCCAGGCGAGGCCTGACTGTCAGCCATGGAAGTAGCAATTGGCCTGGTGAGAAGTGTTTGGATCAGGGCAGATGGACCATATTTGCTCATGGGCTGGGTGTGGATATGAGAAAATGGATTTGGGCCTCAAACCAGAAAGATACAGTTTTCATGAACTCAATGTGGAAGACTAAAGGAAGAACAGATTTACAAGGAAAATGTTCTTGGTTTGTGGCATGCTAAATCCTATCACCAAGTAGAGAATCTGTATAGTCAGCTAGACACACAAGTCTGAAGTTCATGGGAAAGGAATGGGCTGGAGTCACGTCTGTGCACACAGTATTCAGTCACAAAACCGTGGGCTGGGGCTTCAGCTCAGTGGTGCTGCTGCCTGCCTCACAAGCGCAAGGTCCGGAGTTTGATCCCTGGTAACACACACACACACACACACACACACACACAAGTCACAAGACTGGATAAGATCTCAGGTAATGATGTAGACAGAGAAAGTAAGTTATATAAGGTTCGAGGCCTCAAACCCTTCTAACTTTAGATTTCAAACAGGAACCATGAGAATTCACCTGGAAAGAAATAAATCACAACAGCTCAGTTGCTGTAGCAGGCAGATGTCAAAGTGGAAACTAGCAGATGCTCCAGGCTACCTGCTTCCTCTTCTCAGTGAATGCGAGGTAAAGTCCTGAGCTGACAGCAAGGAGGAGACAAAGTGCTGGGACTATGGGGAAGGGGGCACCATGCAGCCTGACAGGCCTTAAAGATTTCAATTCCGAGGACCGGTCACACACAGCTGTGTGGGTGCAGGTGCCAAGTAAGTGAAGAGAGCTGGATTTAGTCAGGGTTTGGATTTCTGTCCACCAAGTGTGATAGGGAGAGAGGGGTATTTTCAGAATAAGCAAAATCAACTTCTCTGAGAGGCAAGCTGAACCAATCATGAGCAGCAACTTTTAAAATTCATATTTTTATAGATTTGTCCATGGCTAGATTATCACTTCTGAGCACAGATTTGCCCCACATTAAGTCAGCATTTTTAGTGCCAATAATAATTTCTGTGCCCTCCAAAGGCCTGTTGTAAGACATCAACTAGAACCTAGTTTCTTTTCTTTCCCCTTGTGGAGTGCTTTTCGATAGAAATTATCACTTAATTGAACACTGCTATTAAGTCAGGATACAGTTCTTTTGCCAGATAAAAGCTTCTCTGTCTTTCTATTAGTGAAAATGGGGACACCCATGTAAACCACAGTTTGAAAAAGTAGAGAGGATGTCACTGAGTAAGAATTTTAGATTTGTTTTACTCTGTAGAGTTTAAGTTTTAGAAAATAATAATTGAATATAGAACTGACTTTTTGGGTCACATAAGGCAAATAACTTCATCTCTTAGGACCAACTAAAGGAAGACTAACAAACTGATTGAGGACCTGGAAACTAATAAGCTTAAATCACTGGCAGAGAGAAAATTTTTGTTTCAAGTTCGATAGGCATTTTGGCTTACAATTCTCTTAAAGAAAAGTAGTATGCACACATATCCATATACGTTTTCAAATTCTGCTATTCAGTGTCCACAAAGGACTTCCATCATTCAACAAAAGAAGCAACAGAAGCAAAAAGCAAAGCTATTGATGGTTTTTACAAGTCACTAAGAGCAGAAGGTCTCAGCCCTATTCTGGGAGATCAGTAACAAGGAAATAGGGCTAAGAAGCTCAAGATACTACAGAGGCAGGAAGTGACGGGCAGTGCTCAGAAAAGTAGTTTTCCAAAACTTTCAGTGTGGGAATTATTAACTTTATACTAAGTGTTAAATTCAGCTTTTCATGCAACTGTGCAAGTAAATACAAAATTATAAACTCATAAGGGCCAGGGATTTAGCTCAGCAGTTCAGTGGCCTGCCTCGCAAGCGCAAGGATCTGAGTTGGATCCCCGGTACCACACACACACACACACACACACACACACACACACACACACACAAAACCTCATAGACTTAAATGAACAATCCCTGAGAGAAGATTGAAGGAGGTAATGAAATACAACTATAAAAGGAGAATGGGGAAAAATATAAGAACCAAGATATATCATGTAAAGGTACAAATTCCCAATGATGCGTGTCATCATATTGTATACCTAAAATGTACCAATAAACTTAATGAAAAAAATAGAAAAAACAAAACAAAACAAAACTACATTTATCCCTAAAGACAACTGAGGAGATTCTATGGGCTTACAAGTCTCAATATCTACTAGGATATATTGTACCTTGTTCAAATATGTCTCAGATAGCCTTGGGTCTTTCACTTTAAAACAAACTTTAAAATCACCCTAACAAGTTATACACACAGATGGTAGGGATTTCTTAAAATTACATTAGATCCATAAATTAATTGGGGAAGAAGTTGCATCTGTTTTACAATATTGTCTCTTTTGATGTCTTTCAATAAAGCCTAAGTTTTTTCATAAAGTTAAAAAAAAAAAAGAAATACAACTATAAAATATGACCCATCATCCTGGTACTATCATTGCTTTAAAACTGAAGAACAGATGTTACTCTCAATACCCTGAGGGTTGTGCTAAGGTCAGGGGAGATACACTGGCTAGGAAAAAAATAGATAATAGCTTTACTTTTATCCTTAGCCTTTAATATGAGTGAAAAAAGTAAAGCTGCATATTGTTCCTACTTTTATCAATCAGACCGAGATTCTGTAAGCACCCCAAACCATCTAACCAGCACTACGTCGCTACAATCAGTTCAAGGCTTTACCCCAACCCAAGGTCTCCACTAGCCAAAGAATCCATTGCATATACCTGATCTATTCTGCTTTAAGCCTGCTCAGTACTAAAAGCACACTGGTTCTAGTAGGAATTATTCTCTTTTGAAGGGAACTAGTAGAAGAGATATGGGGTGGATCACAAGGGAAAAAACAAAACACTTCCAGTCTGTTTTCATCAAGATTAAAGTGCAGACACAACAAAAAATGCAACCATAAATCACCATCAATTTGGTCTACAAGGACTTGGCATTTGTGATTTGAAAAGAAGCCAAAGACATTATTTCCGAGTTATGTTAAAAATAATGACTTCTTGGCAGAGCTTGACCTGCTATGGGCCCATGAGTCCCGGAATACTTTGCCAGATTGGGAAGGAAGGTGTCCTATAGTTCTTCAATAAGCTGTGCTTTTTGGTTTGCTTTAAGGTTGCGTCTTCCTGGAGGAGGAAGATTTTACAAAAAATGGCAATGTTAAGGGTGTGATTCCACAACTTTATTGAGGGAGGCCTTAAATAGTAGTGTTTCCAACAACGTCACAGCCAGTTTGTGTGGAACATCTTAGGAGAGATGACCATTTCCACGCAAGGTCAAGGTAGTCGCCAACGTCAAATAAGGCTAAATGCCAGGTGCCTGCCCCAACTCCACCAGACTGATAGAGTCATCCTCTGTGGGGAACTGGTTCCAGGCTGCATCCCCAATGACCAAATCTCCAAATGCTCATGTCACTTGAATTTGCATAGAAGCTTTACATTCTCCCATGTACATCATCTTTAGCTACACATATCTTATGCAATGTAAATACTATGTAAATAATTTATATAAGGTATTGTTTAAGGAACAATGACAAGGAAAAGTCCATACATGCTTAGGGCAGATGCAGGTTTTTTCAAACACAAATACTTTTTTATTTATGGGATATCATTTTACACCAGTTCCACTGAAAACTAAAACCAACATGCTGTACTTAAGTTAGGTGGCGTAACAGCATTTCAGTTAAGCTGACAACACAAAGCAAAAAAATATGGAACGCTTCACAAATTCGCATGTCATCCTTGCGCAGGCAGGGGCTGTGCTAATCTTCTCTGTATCGTTCCAATTTTAGTATGTGTGCTGCCGAAGCGAGCACCACAATTTTTAAAAAGTACTTTTAGTTCTTGGTTGGTTGTGCGCATGGATGGCCAACTATAATTGGAATGTTTTGTGGCTTGTTCTCTTATGAGACACTCAATTTTCTCTGATGCATTCTCTGATTTTTGCAGCTTGTACCTCAGATGTTTGCTTTGAACACTCGTAGGTACATTGCTAGGCGGGAGACAACACCTTCAAAGAAGCCACCATATAAAAGCAGTCTATTCCTGATTCATCCCTACTTTTTCTTATTTTCTTTCTACGATATACTTCTCATTTGATGTAAACTTCCTTTTGTGCAGAAGTCTCCATCAAAGAAAAAACTTAATGTGTAGGATCTTTTTCTGTTGTATTTACTTTTTAATATTTTTTTAGAGGTCTCAATAAAAACCTGCTAGAAGACTAAAATTATATCCTAGAGTTGATTTTTTTTTTTGGTTTGGTTTTTAAGGAAAAGTACCTCTTTCATTTTTACTAATAAAGAGATAAGCCTCTTTGCATAAAAAATAGAAAATGTCAATAGGAAACTGTCTTTAGTCACTAGTAAAACATGCAGGAATCAAGTACATAACAGGTGAGGACAGCCTGCCTACCTACTGAAAAATATCTAGAGCACTGGTTTTAGAAACAGCATGGTAGAGTTTTATAGCATATAAATGAAGAAAGAGAGTTTTGGAGCGAGCAGATTAGGGGTGGAATCCCCATTTGTCAGTTGCTAGCTGTAACCTTAGGCTCGTGCTCCTATAAAACCAGGCTTGTGCTACACACTACTGTAAGGCAGAATTACATGAGACTATATAGAAAGTACCTACTGCAGAACCGATAGTAGGCATTCTAGACATACTGGTTGCTTTTCCCCTTGTCTTGTTTCCCAACATGGCAGGGATAACTTTAGCAGCTTGAGGTGTGTATATAGCATCCAGATCCTTAAGGCTGCTACAAAATTGTCCCTATTCCCAGAGTTTTCAGCCTCCATCAAAAACTGTAAATATCAGAGAGAAAAAAATGATAAAAAACATTGAACCAGACTTTTATATAACTCAGTAAGACAATTCATGACTTCCATTATCTTGCTGCAGAATACACCAAAAGAAAAGAGGCTGAACTATAAAGGCAGCAGGAGACTCAAGGTAGCCATCCTAAATGAGAATGTATAGGACACGGCTCATAAGTATCTATTATACTCACTCACTCTTTTTGCTTCCTTTAGAAAACTAATGATGATGCAATTGATTTTGATTATACTGTACTGCTTCATGAATTCCCAACACAGGTAAAATACAGAATTATATGCAAAATTGTTTTTACCTTAAGTTTTTGCAGGTTGTGTTCTAATTTTATGACTATTTCCTAGGAAATCATCCCCTGTCGTATTCACCTGGTCTGGTACCCTGGCAAACCACTTAAAGTGAAGTACCACTGTCAAGAGCTACAGACCTCAGAAGAAGCCTCTGGTACTGTAGAAGGATCAGCTGTGGAACTAACACAGCTTAGGAACTTCTAAAATTAAAATGGAAGCCGGGCATGGTGGCGCACACCTGTAATCCCAACACTCGGGAGGCTGAGGCAGGAGAATCACTGTTGAGTTTGAGACCAGCCTAGGCTACATAGTGAGTGCCAGGTCAGTCTCAACTACATAGTGAGACCCTGTCTCAAAAAAAAAAAAAAAAAGGACCTGCTTATACCAAATTGCCAACAAAATGACTATATTAGTTGTACAAAATGTATTAGTAAAACAGCTAAGGCCTGTATATTCTAATAACTTAGTGGTCCTCAGCAGGTTCAAGATTTTAGCCCTAGGGCCGGGGATTTAGCTCAGCGGTTCAGTGGCCTGCCTTGCAAGTGCAAGGACCTGAGTTCAATCCCCGGTATAAAAAAAAAGATTTTAGCCCTAAAATGCAAAATACATCAATTAGTATATGTTGCCAATGGATCAATCATTATTTTTCATAAGACAATGGTTTCATCTTTGAATCTGTACTTCTTATTGTGAACACAGTGTAGCTATTTTTATGTTGCTAAATTGCTCCTGCCTAGTATGTCAAGAAATATATCTGCAATGAAAGTAATCTATAGGGAAGACATTTAACTGAATAATTTTATTATATTTTATCATTTCAAGCAATTATTCCTTTTTAACTTGATACCTACTTTTTAAATAACTGTTTGTTTCTAAATAATGTGTTTGCAGAGATTTGTATGCATAGACAAAATTTGTACTAAACTAAAATTAAATAAAATCAATATTGTTTGCTTCAAATTTTACAAATATGGTACCTTACCAAATAACACTGTCAGCAAACGTGCATTAAAAGAAACACTAATATAACAGAGTACATCAAATATTTACAATTTTTCTTTAGAAAGATAACTTGAATCCAGTGTGGATCTAAGCAATTTATGAAGGCAAACATAACATGTACCATAATCAAATCAAGGCAAGAAGAATTGGTTCAGGAAATGTTGCCATCATTTGCCTCTAAAAATTATAATTTAAGGGAACATTTATATCAGTATCTGAAAACATTTAGCCAGGTTACTTGGCCAGTAATTGATTTGGAAGCATCAGCCTTACAATATAACAAACTACAGATGCACATTTACTTACAGTGAGGCTATGTCCCAATAAATCCACAAGTTGAAAATATCATAGCTTGAAAACACATGTAATATTTAACCTATGAAATAGGTACCTGTACTGCTATACAATTGAAGTTTACACTAACGAAAAAATTTAGACAGGGACTCTTACAAAATAAAAATAAATATGTCTCATTTATCCATTTTTCTATTTAAAACCTCAAACTGTTGTATTTACTTGCCCAACATCCAGCTGTTTTCTAAGTATTCTGAAACACTAAAGGAAACTTCTGCTCTCTCACCTATGTGATAAGAGCAAGTGCTCTTTCTAAAATAACAAAGAAACAATCTACAATGATTACTATGCCAAATCAAGAGAGAAACTGCTTTAACTAGAGTACCCTAAATAATCAAAAACAGATTCTCAGAGTATTATTATATCATATTCAATGTGCTGTGTCCTTTAATAATTCTTTTAGTATCACATTAAGGACCAGAAAAGGGTGTTTATATGGCGTTTCAGTCCTCATTCTGATAAAAGCACTGCCTGTTAGTGAGATTAGACTTACAGATGTGACCATAATCCAGCCAGGAAAGAGTTCTGAGGTTACCTGTGAGCAAACATTTCAGTGTCATACATTATGAGGGGAAACTGCACACAGGCAAACAATACACAAACACAATTACCTAAATTATAAATTCACAAAACCACAAGAGCTAAACATTTTTCAGTATTACCTAAAATTGTCTAATATCATTAGAACATCTTTTCTAGTGCAAACTCTAAAATTGGTGACTTGATTTTAACAACGTTTTTCATAGCTAACAAGAGAAAGAAAATACGCGATCTGCTGTGGCATAAAATACAAACTCCAAATTCCCTAGGCCAGTGATGGTGAACCTTTCAATGATAACAACCAGCAGGCTGTAGCACAGGTACCATGGGTTTGCCAGCACTGCTAAGTCCTCTTCTCATTAAGACTAAATTTATCTGAATCACTGGGTGCCAACGGGTCACATCAGCATCATCTCTTCAGAATTTTAAGACATACAAAATAGTATCAAGATGTTCATTGCATTCTATTTTATTCTACTCTTAGTTTCAATTTTTCCCACCTCAGTTAAACATCGGTACAATTAAACAAGTACTTCTGAAAGTCAATTAGAAGCTTCTACACTTGCCCTTGAATGTTAGTCCTTTATGACATCTTATTTTATCACACCAGTTTTTCTCAGCTTAGAAAATTCAGACCTTTCTATGACTTCCTAGCTTTCAAAGTCCCATAAAAGCTAACGTGGCTGACACCTACTTGAATAGAGAAATGTTCACATAAATTTTCTGATCTGAGAATACAATTAACTTATTTCAGTAACGCACTACAGTGTTATTTATTTGAAGACATTTTACACAGCAGTTAAATCTTCAATTCAGCAACTTATACTTTTAGCAATGTAAGCTGTTATTTTCTACAAAGGGATATATTCAAATGTGTCAATTTACTATTTCCCTTTGGCTCACTACTTCAAGACTCATGCAGATTTCAAAAACTTTAAAATATAAAACATCTTAGACTACAGAACTGATTAAATTTTGGTAGTTTCATAAACTATGCAATCAGAGAGTGAGCAGAGTAGAATAACAGAAAACTTGACTGTATGCTAAAGGAAGAACTAATAGCCCAAACTTAAGTGCTGTCTAAAACAATACTAACAATACTAAAAAGAATACTAGCGCACATCTGAATTGCAAGTATCTTTCACTTCACGCCTTGCACCTCAGTGCAGGCAAAACTGCAGTGGTCTTTAATGCTGAGTGCATAATGCAATCACCTGGGAAAGTTTCAGAGGCTCCAAGAGTCTGAGGTGAGCCTGAGGTGTTTCTTTTTAAAGCTCCCAGGTAACTTTTAAAGTGCAGCCAGGACAGTACATACATGCACTACCTCCTAGTGTTGCTACTCCTCTCCAGGCACAGGCAATATGGGTTTTCGTTAGCCAACGATTATCCTTCACAAAAGAAATATAAAAAATAAATCTTTATTTATAAATATTCACATTAATTTTTTCCATGCTACAGATTCTGGCTGGGATTTAGTCTTTGCAAGCTATCACCAAGCTAATGAGTTAGCAAAAGGTGTGGGTTAGGTTTCTGGATCTGTTCCCTACGTGCTATTTGAGTTACCTGCCCCCTCACACACGCTGCTGAAACCGTTTCATTTCTTATGAAACACTGGGGATGAATTTGATACTTAGGATCATTTCTGACACTCTAACTTTAAAACTGGAATATTTAAGGGCCAAGGATTTAGCTCAGCGGCACGGCACCTGCCTTGCAAGCACAGGGTCCTGTGTTCAATCCTAGGCACCAAAAACAAAACCAAACCGGAATATATGAAACAAAACACATGAAAAACATGTCCCCATTTTTCCATCTTGCTGACTACTCTAAATAGCCAGAGAGACCACGCTAAATCCCACGAAAGTATTTTGTCACTGGGTATAATACTCTTAACAATGAGTGGTGAGAGTTGCTGATGTGATGCCAAAGCAACCACATTTCTCAGGCTCAGGGCTACTGCAGCAATAGACATATTCATGGGCGAAATGTACTTGACCACGGTCAGACCTAAAGTATCCATTCCATAACTTAATAAGCAGCATTATCTTACAAAAAATTGCCTTCTCTATGCCTCTGCTTCTAACAAAAGAGACATAATACTGTAACAGTATTGTGTGAGGATTAAATAATATATTTAAACAAATGCTTGATACTTTCAAAGCCTTTCTTCCTAAATACAATAAATTATAAAGTCAAATTTGTAAAACAAGAAAAATATAAGAATTTAAAATGAATTATTTCATTTCTATCACCCAGTAAGAGTACATAGGTATATGGTACCAGATAATTTTTGGATGAAGACATTCTGAAGAGTATGGTAGAACTCCCTGGAGAAAATGTGACCTATTCTGGAAACAAAAGCTTAACATTTGTTCCTTCACAATCTCAAGTAATATAGTATAGGAATGCAACAGACTGACTTCAACTGAGTAGCAACTTTATAAATTACATTTTATTAATGAAAGAAATGAAGATGAACATAAGAATGGCATTTTAAGGATATATTTTTTACTTCATATAGGACTGCATATAATATCTGTATTCTTAAAACACAGGCAGTCAGGAATCTGCAGAAGCTACAAGCTGAAGCAATGAGCCATATTGCAAACAAGCTAGAAATTTAGCTAGTGGGTTATTTTTTGTTTTTTATTTGGTTTTTTTGGGGGGAGGGTACAGGGGATTGAACTTGGGTCCTTGCGCTTTGCAAGGCAGGCCACCGAACCGCTGAGCTAAATCCCCAGCCCTGCTTAGTTTTTGAAGCAGGGTCTCACTATGTAGTTCAGGTTGGCCTTAAACTCACTATGTAGCTCAGGCTATCTTTGAACTCATGGCAATCCCCCTGCCTCAGCCTCCTGAGTGCTGGGAGTACAGGCATTCACCACCATACCCGGCTAACCAGTATTTTAATAATCCAGTGAAGAATTTAAAAAGTTGCTCTCTAGCAAAAACATATGGAATCCACCCAAACAAAAAGCGCTTGCCCATTAATGACACTCCAAGAAGTGTCATGATGTATAAAATTTCCTTTAAGTCAATGTATGAGACATAAAGAAACAAACTATCATTTGATAAACTGTTACCACTGTCACTGCTGAATTTAGATGAAAACTGTATAGCTATTCTGGTACAAACTGTTTTCTCAGCATTTCTATATTTTGAAAATTCTCATGATTAAAAGAAAAAATTTGGAAAGAAGTTTGCACATATTTCAAGCTTAGAAGTGTAACTGAAACAAATCGCTTCCTTTAAATGTTAAATATATTTCAGTACTGTAAAAGTCATATCTTATTCAAGGTTGTTTAATGAACTATAAAACCAAATCAGCAAAATTGAAATATACACAGAATTATCTTTGAATATAATAGAAGCTCCTGAATGTGAAATAGGAAAGGCTTCTAAAATTTGTTTCAGCAACTTGAATTTGTACCTTTGAAATCTACCATTCCCAAACCTTGCAGATTCAATTAAAATAAATAAAATGAGGAAATTCAGTTCTTGGCTTTTCCTTTTTTTACAGGAAGTTGACCTGTAGCTTCCAAATACTTATTAATGAGTTCTTCTTGTGTTGATGGCAAACATGGTTGATACCTGCAGTATTCCATTGTGTATTCTCCCTTTCCCTAGGGGTTCAGAAGTGGGGGAGAGAAAAGGAAAGAAAGAATGAATTTTTTTTACAACTGTCAAGTCACGTCAGGATTTCATAAATTGATCATTTTATAAGATGCTCTTTTGAAGAGCACTACAGTAAAGTTTAAACAACTGCTCACCTCTGTACATGACCTAAGTTCAGTAGAATAACCAAACATATTATTCAAAGGGACCTAAAAACAAACACGATAGATATTTTAGCATTACTTACTGAAAAGTATTTGGAATAATGCAAGGATATATTTAGTCATGTAATGTTTTAGATTTAGGTTCCTACTCACTACTTTTTTAAAAAAAGAATTAAAGCCAAAGAGAAACACTTTTGTTTTATTCCATACGGAAACCACATCTGACAGCCACTAGGAACCAAATCTTGCATTTCACAGAGCAGACACCACTGAGGCCTTCTTTCTCTAACCATACTCCACTCTCTGGCACCAGCTCAAGCATTTGGAGAAAAGTTTCTTCTCTGAAAATGTTAATACAAATTTTCATTGGATACTTTCTTTTCTTTTTTCTTTTTGTGTGGTGCTGGGCATTGAATTCCAGGTTGCCTCTACCATGTAGCTACGCCCGCACCCCTCCACTGCTCACTTAATGACACGATGCCGAGAGCAGTGTCTGCCAGGAGGTCTTCTAAAGTGATGAACCCAGGTACAGGGCAAGAGAATTACACATGGCCCCAATACAGCATAGATAGTATAATAAAGCATCTAGGCAAAGGAAGCTAAAATGAGAAAGAAAAAATGATTGTTCAATAATAGCATATTCACAAAAGGCCGAGATGAAATGAATCTTATTTTAGCTTCACACTTAAGAGCTGCTCTAAAAAGTAAATTACAGAAGTCGCCTCATATACAGAAGCCACAAATTCAACAGGGAAATGTGCCAATTTGCTTTACAATTGCCAAAAGCAGAAACTAACAGCTTTCCTTCCACAGATTTAAAAAAATTTTTTTTTTTTAAAAACAATGACCAATAGTACTTACATCTGCATAAAGTGTAAAATAGTCCTCAATTCCATCTTGCCCTGTGATTACCCCATGGCGCCGGTTAATTCCCGCGATTACCGGTCCCTGAAAGTCATTCGGAGCTACAACTTCCACAGCCATAACAGGTTCCAGGATACACAATGTTGCACTGGCCAAAGCTAAATTTATAAAAAATGTTTTGGATCATTCAACAAACTAGAACTCTTTCTCTTCCAGCTTTATGATCAAGACACAGATGGTACCCTCCCAAAGTTACATAAACAGATGACCTTATATTATCTGATCTGGATTCATTTTCTTGTAGCAGTTAACAGTCACCTTTCTAGGTGAAAACTCCAATAAAATATTATTTAATTATAGTATTATTTCCATTACCATATTTTTATCCTCAAAGTTCATTAAACTACAAAGAATACAAAAGGATCTTAAAACTTCAGTCATCAAATCCTTTATCATGAAAATTACCCAGTTGTGTTACTTAATCCCTTTGGAAATCTTTGGATTCGGGGAATTGTTAATGTCTAGTAGGTCTATTCTTTCTTGTAAGCTGGAGCACATAGTTGTCTTTTATAGTAAGAAAATAACATCATGGGATGGTGGGGGGGCACCCTTCATATACTTGAAGGAAGAATCAAGTCACTCCTGAGACCTGTGTTTCTTTTAAGCTGAACAATTTTATCACTTGAGATCTAGAAGACTAGTTTCTAGTTTCTGCTCTATGTCTGCCAAATTATATGTCTTTTGTGAAAACATACTCTGGCCAGGACTCAAGTTTCTTCCCACAAAATGAAGATATCAGACTCAATATTGGGAATCAACTCTGCACTAAAACTTAATGTGTATGTCTCTATTTTTGTCCAGTTTAACACATAAGCAGAACACTTCTCTTACAAACAATGGTTGATGGTTAAGTAGTACAGCAATATGGAAAGAGTACAATAAAACTCCAAACATTTGTAGTCTATTGGAAATTGTACTAGTGAAGAGTAATACTTCAGCCTCAGATTGGCTGCATCTATGTTCAAATAAAAGCATTAAGCAAGACACAGAAAAGATGACAAAGAAACTTCAAAAATAAGCATAGCAAAAAGCTATCATTCTTATAGTCATTAAAGCACTTTCTAAAGACACTATTAAATTGAGTGCAATAATTATATAATGGCACTGAAATCCAGAGTCACCCTAAATATCAGTGAGGAATTCATTCTAGGTCCTTCTATGGATACCAAAAAAATCACAGGAGCTCAACCTTTTTTTACATAATGGCTTAGTATTTGCACATAGCCTAAACTTCCCAAATACTTTTTAAAAATTCATCTCAAAGAAGCGTAGGAGAGTCTTAGGGACTGTGAAACATGAAATTCAGCTTTGCTTTTTGCAACTTTCTTATATGTATACACACACACACACACACACACACACACATATATTTTGTTGTTGTTTTGGGTTTTTTTGTTTTGTTTTGTTTTTTGAGACAGGGTCTCACTGTGTAGTTGAGACTGACCTGGAACTCACTATGTAGCCCAGGCTGGTCTCAAACTCACAGCGATCCTCCTGCCTCAGCCTCCTGAGTGCTGGGATTACAGGCATGTGCCACCACACCCGGCTCTCTCAAAATATTTTTGATGCAGAACTCTGGATAAAGTTGACAGTACTAACATTTCTTAGAAATATTTTTTAATTCAAATCATATCCTAGGCTCACACCTACCACTGACTAATCTGTGCTAGTGAATTCTATTCCGAAGAGAGGAATAACTAAACTTACAGAAATACTGCCAAGTCCTAAGCTTCACTGGCTAAGCCCTGACAAACCCTACATAGACATTTCTATCACAGTTAACAATTCTAACCTGCACAGAAACAGCATCATTTCTTCAGATTAGTAGTTTTTAAGGTTAGCAGAGAGATGGGAGGAGCTAGAGCCAAGAACACACCCTTCCAGGCCACACCCTCAATGATGTACCCAACCAGCCCCCACTCCTAAGAGCACATTCAGGCAGGAACTCATCAACGGTTCATCCACTGATGAGTAGAGCGTCCCCATGATCCAATCACCTCTGAATACAAGAGACTTTAATGGGACATTTTAGATCTAAACCATAACACCTGTCCAGTTCTGACCCTGCTCCTCTCTTTAGTTTCCTCCTTTAACCCATTTTCTCATTCACTTTCAAGTGAACCTTGTCCTTATATATGCCATCAACTCTGGTCCATGTGACACGAATCAGAACCTGACTCACCCTGTCATCTTTCAACAGCCACATGGCAGCAAAGTTCTAAAAGCAATTGCATCTATGTGGTGTATAGCTCCCAAAGGTGTGATGTAAAGATACTGATATCATCACAGGATCTTTTAAGCCAAAGTGGTGGACAGAGATGATACTGTTTCTATTTCAAAGTAGTAGTAACATCCCTCTCATATCACCAGGCCAGGTACTAAAGTGATTACCAGAGTGCTTGTGGTCAAAGGCTGACTGGTCTGGATTTAACTTTTAGCCCTGTCACTAACTAGGAAGTAAGCCTCAGTCATTCAATTAACTGCATGAGCCTAAACTTTCTCAACCCTAAGGTCACATGAAAACAAGGTATGATAATTCATGCACATGGCATAATACACAGCACATAAGCAATCAACAAATGTTACTATCAGTACTCTTGAGACAAAACAGCTGAGGTATGGGTGGCAAGGCACAGTGCCGAGACAAGGGCAGTCCAGTAAGAAGAATGACTGGCATTCACTATGCACGCTGCAAATGTTTTCAAGTATATTCTCATTCAGTATCTGTGAGATTATCATCAAGCAGCCTTGGGAAGTTCGGATGACCTGTCCATTTTTGTACAGTATCTAAGAAGCAGTCTGTCTGGACTCACACTCAAAACTGGCATGTAATGGAACAGGATATCAAGAAAAAGACTTCATCTAGCTAAATACACTAACAATATGAGTCTGGCTTGGATTTTATTTCTTTTACAGAGTGGCTATAAGTTCAGTATTTTTGGACCTCTACCAACTGGCCACAAAATGATGGCAATGGTCCTATCTATAGAGTAAAACATGGCCAGAGAACATTAAGTTTCACATTTTAGTTTTAAGTTACATTACTGATTAATTTCAGAGACAAAGTTTAAAATTTGTCTCAAATTAGAGTACATGAGAATGTGAAAAAATGCTTTTCTAATTCTTATAATATGTAACATATAATAATAATAATATTATAATATTAACTCATAAGCTCATTTACCAACATTTTCACCCTGAAACTCACACGGCATTCAAAGGAGGCATATTAAAAAGTTGGTTTTCTTTTTTTTGTTTGTTTTTGTTTTTGGTACTGGAGATGGAACTCAGGACCTTGTGCTTGTAAAGCCGGCAGCGGAACCACTGAGCTAAATCCCCGGCCCCAAAAGTTGGTTTTCTTACTAAGTTTGGCAAGAACTTCCTTAGACCAGACTTTTACATTTTTATCTTTCTCTTTTTAGGAATGTAAACACCAATTTTTTTGTTTTGTTTTGTTTTTTGAGACAGGATCTCACTTTATAGTTCAGGCTGGCCTCGAACTTACAGCAATCCTCCTGCCTCTGCCTCCCGAGTGCTGGGATTACAGGCGTGAGCCACCACATCTGGCCTGATTTTTATTTTTACTTCAAATATAATTTTGTTTCATTTTTTTATTTTCTGGGGTACCAGGGATCAAACTGAGCTAAATCCCTGGCCCCATTTTTTTTTTTTTTTTTTTTTTTGAGACAAGGTCTCACTATACAGTTGTGACTAACCTGGAACTCACTAAGTAGCTCAGGATCGTCTCAAACTCACAGTGATCCTCCTGCCTCAGCCTCCCGAGTGCTGGGATTACAGGCTTGCACCACCATACCTGGCTTCCCGGTTCTATTTTAAATTGATAAGTAATAACTGTATTTATGGGGCAAAGTGACGTTTCAAGCATTTTTATCTTTTAATCATGAAGAAATAAGAATCAAGTGAATAATTCATTTTCATAGTAGCACCCTGCTTATCTGCATAACCTGGCCAAAGTCTCAATTCAATTTTAGTGCTTTTCCTTTGCACATTTACTAGGTTGAGAAAGTGCAGCATAAATTACTAAAGGATCTAGCAGGTTAAACAAAATAAGGAATTAGCAACCTAGTCAAGGGATTAGTAACCTTCTCCAACCATTCCCTATACCTCATCACAGATACGAAATGAGAACAAAGGCAACATAAAGTCTAAAATTTATATAGAATGAATAAAGCAATGATTGACAGAATGCTTATGAAGTCAGATCATGGTTAATTTAATTTTCTACTGTCCCTTTAACCCTCTTTCATTAAATTATTTCTGAAATGTTTCATGAGTCATAATTTTTCAGTGTTAAGACATTTATGGACATTACTAATGAATTATGAAACAACAGATATGATATAGCTGATGAGAAAAATGAATTTTCTGGACTCAGGGCACTGGAAGATCCTTGTCAACACTGATGTCAAATTGTTATGTTATCATTCTATTTTTTTCTCTTAAAAGCAAAGAGTCATACGTGTTTGTGATTACTTGGGGGTCTTCATCAGAGTCTGATACATGTAGCTGGTATTATTCTCCATGGAAAAGGCTGACAGTTTTTTATCAGTTTAGCAAGGAGTTTGCATTGTGGCTAGGTCTACTGAATTCTTTCAAAATACTCTGCTATATTCAAAATGCCTAAAGCCTACAATGTGATACATTAAAAAATTATCTACAAATTTATGGACTTCCTGACATTTAAATGAATCACTAAAATAGTACGACTGTGGTTAACATATCTTTAAAATATTTCTCATATTCCTCAGCATTTGTCTTCTCTATTAAAAACAGAACTTTAGGTTATCAATGAATTTAAATGAATAAATATAATTTGAAAGAATAGGGTAGACTTTGAATTTTATAAGAGAGAGATCTCACTTCAAATTTATAAATATTTATTCATTACCTAGTGCTCAGGGTAGAGAAGACCGAAAACAGTGTTCTCCGAAGCTCCAATGGAACAAGGGAAAACAGACAGGGTACTGAGATGCAGCATACCTTGTTTAACAGCACCTTCTCCAGCTCGGATGAAAGAGATTTCATTGGAATCGACCATGTGGTGCGCTCCATCTTGCAGAACAAACCGGAGCCCAGAGAGCTTGTGACCAGAAAGTGGGCCCTTCTCGCAGGCATCCAAAAACCCCTATTAATGAATGAATACGACTTCAGAAATGAGGGAATTTCACCCTGATGCACTGCCAAAATGCCAAAAGAGTTAGTGTTCAGAATGTAATGTTCTTACGATGTCTGTTATATTTTTAAAAATTTTTTTAGAAAGTTCAAATTAGCAACATTACTATCTAAATTGCACTGTGGCATCTAGATGAGTAATCCCCTGGATGGAAAAGTATATTATTTAAAGATGCAACCTGGCTGGGGAGCAATGCGAACAATGATCATTTTCTCATAACCTTAAGTCTCATAACCTTTTATAAATACAGCATGATCGTACTTTACAGGTAAGGCACAGCAAAGGCAAAAGTAAGGAACTCCCTAAAAGAAAATCTACATCAAAATTAGTGGTTTGACTTTTAAGACCCAATCCCCATGTTTAATCAATAAGAATCAAATAAGAATCACTAGTTGTGATTAAAATATAATGTAACTCTTTAAAACTTAAAAGTTATTACAGTAAAAAACATTGTCATGAATTCCCCTCAAAATCCACCCCCTTGCTTCAAAAATATGCTATCATTCTTGCCACATTCTGAAGCAGTTCTAAAAGTCCTCTTTCATGAGTGTGTGTAACTGTAGTGTCAAGGCTGCTGTGATTTATTAAATCAATTCAGAACGTTCACCTTTTATGGTCAGTTTTACTTTGGGGAAGAGTCAGAAGTAGCACGGCACCAGATCCAGTGCCAAAGTTGGATGACAAAACACCGCAATGTCTTTACTAGCCTGCCTTTTCACTGGACTGCACTTGGCTGCAGCATTCACAGTATTTGTAATTACGCATCATTATGAAGACACTAACAAAACGAGATTTCCAGAAGCGCTCCAGGAAGTGGCAAGAACAATGCGATATGTTGTTAGAAGCACGGGGAGCATTTCAGTGGCATTAATGCCAATGTGTCTTTTGATGCAATACATTTTAAAATTTTATACATTCACTGATTATATCAATCACATTTCAGAAGATATAGAATGGTCCTTTCTTTTTTTCTTTCTTTCTATTTTTTTTTTTTTTTTTTTTTTTTTTTTTTTTTTTTTTTTTTTTTTTTTTTTTTTTTTTTTTTTTTTTTTGGCACTGGAGATAGAACTCAGGACCTTGCACTTGCAAGGCAGATCCGGTGCCACTAGCTAAATCCCTGGCCCAGGTACACAACAGTCTTAAAGGAAATGTGCAAAAGCAAACAAAACATTAACCTCTTATATGTGTCTTTTTTACCTCAATTTTGTGAGGTTAAGTATTTTACAGCCAGTTTATGAAAAAAAGAACAGGTTCTGAACACTGAATGACCAAAAAGAACATTAACCAGCAGCAAAGATGACAGCACACTCAGGAGCTGGGGATCTTAATGAATTATTCCGTGACAATAAACAGTACACAAAACTTTCATAAATTCCCAAGAACTACTACATATGCTGTGATGCAATACCAAATAAACTTTTTAATAAATAAAAGTGCAACAAAGCTTTGTTAAAATTTACCTTTTCTACTGCAGGTATAAAATGTTTTGGGACATTTGTCCCGAATGTGTCATCTGTAAACTCCAACTTAGTGTAGTTCTCTGGGTCCAGAGGCTCCAGGACACCTATGACTTTTCCATACTGGCCTGCACCACCGGATTGTTTTTTATGTGTAAAATCAAACCTAAAAGTGGTTTAGGAGGGAGGAAACAAACATGGCATTATGCAGTTAGCAAAATAAAATAACTTCTAATTTAAATGAAAAATTATTTTATCACTTTTACCTTTTCTTTTGAGTATGATGGACATACGACCCAATTTTATTGCAGTAGATAAAGATCCCTCTCCTTTCTGTTCTCACTTGTACATGAGGATGGGGTATACTACCAAAGTAATCTATGGTTTTAAATTCTGCTAACTCTGAACTTCCAAATTAAAAAGGCAATTTTTTTTTTCTCATTGAGTTTACTGGCGCATTTTAGATATATAGTACAGTTACAGTCATTACTGGGATCTTGTACCTTTACATGACAGGTCTTGGTTCTCATTTTTTCCCCTTATCCCTGTCCTCCCCAACAAGTAAAGGTAATTAAAAAGTTCAGTGTAAGGCTCCTGATCTAATAACCTACATTTCAAAGAACTTACACACTTCCTTTGGACTGCCTCCCTCCCCGAGAAGTGTGCTCACCTAACACTTTTGGAAAAGAGGACAGGTACCTGAAATCTGATGGCTGTACCTAATTTATTCAGATAGTTCCCTTTTCCCTTTCCTTCCTCCATCTGGTTTCCTTTCCCATTTGAAAACGATCTCCTTATTTCCTTTATCTTTTATTTTGTTTTCTACTTATATTTTGGGTTTCTCAGGTAAGAGAAACCATTCTATACTTAATTGTGCATCTGATTTACTTCATTTAACATTACGGTCTTAAGGTGCACCCATTTATCTATCAATGCTTCTTTATTGAAGAGTAGTAATCCATTGTGTATAAATGCTGTACCTCATTTTCTTTGCCCACTCGTCTCCTGACAGGCATACAGACTTGTTTTGAATATTTGGCTATTATGAATGGTGCTGCTGTAAACATGGGTATGCTTGTATCACTGTAATATGATGATTTTAGCTCTTTCAGGAAGATACTTACGGAATAGCTGGTTCAAAGGGAATTTTTAGTTTTAGGTTTTTTGGTACCAGGGACAGTTTTGGTTTTTTGAGGAAATCTCTATATTGATTTCCATAGTGGCTACACTAGTTTACAAGGAATGTAAACTGACTTAATCTACAAATGATGATTCACTTCAAAAGCCATTAGAAGGCACTGCAGGAAGACAGATTCTACAGTAGTTTAGGTAAAAAGGTGAAAAAACCAAGACTTGTCAGGTAGCTATGTAAAACTGCTGCAGACAAAAGAACCACTGGCATGAGAAAGACAATTTAGTTTTTGGCAAAACATCATCTGCCACATTAAAATTAATGTTAAAATTATATTGGTTATTTTTAATTAGTATCTTAGTTTTTTATTTTTAGTCATACCAAAATTGTGAGCAACATGCATTTTTAGTTTTATATTCATACAATTTCAAAAATTTATAGTATAACATCTTATTCCAGAGATCCACAATAATTTCATCATTTCAAAGATAATCTATGCATTAAATCAAGTCTGAGGATAATAGACTGATGACTAGTCATTTATGAGACTATAGTGGGTAACTAAGATTTCAAGGACCCAAACATGAGATTCTCTTAATGCAATTTATTTATGTTACATCTAAATATGCCTTAAAGTTCCTTTGTAATAACTATATTTTTAAAAGAGCCCAAGTTGGTATAGGTACTTTTACATGCCTGCTATGCCATAATCTATGTTACTAGCTCAGATCCACAGAAATTGACTGTATTCATAAGGCTTCAAATGAGCGACTTTAGAAACTGTTAGTATTTACTACTCAAATTGAAGTAACATAAGAAATGCAACTAGCAATTTGTAAAACTTAAAATTTCATTATCAACAGAGTGCCTTTTGCGTATATACTACCACTTTCTCCTAGATACTATCCAAGAAGCACTTGATTTAAAAAATTCACATTCACGCACACATACACATAACCTTTTGAGAACTCCAGCTAGGCACAGTGACCCACACCTGTAATCCAGTGGGCTTGGGAGGCTAACTCAGCAGGAAACAAAGAAAAAAGAAAAAAAAGAAGAAGAGAAAAAAGGGCTGAGAACATAGTTTAATGTGAAGACCCTGTGTTCGTTCTCCAGTACCGAGAGAGAGAGAGAGAGAGAGAGAGAGAGAGAGAGAGAAACACAGAGGGGAAGGGGGAGGGGGAGGGAGGAGAGGATAGGGGAGGGGAGTTGAGGGGAAAGGAGAAAGAGAAAGAGAATAAGCACCTTCAGTTTCTTAGAAAAAGGCTTAAGAAAAGCAACCTTGTCAGGCATGGTGCACACCTGTAGTCCCAGCACTCGGAAAGCTGAGGCAGGAAGATCACAGTGAGCTGGAGGCCAGCCTGGGCTACATAGTGAGTTCAAGGCCAGCCTAAGCTACATAGTGAGACCCTGTCTCAAAATAATAAAATAAAAAAATGTAAAAGCAACCTTTTCATTCTCTAGACACTTCTTGGCTAATAACTAGAAAGGATGAAAAATACTGCTTTAAAACAATCTACTACAAAGAAAATCTTCATATGAATTTTAAACATATGAAAACAACACCACCTTGCAATAGATACATTTTGTTCACTTTACTTTTTACAATATTATCACAACTTAAACAGGCAAGTCTACTCAAAGATCCTTCAAAACTCCATGTTTTAGAAAAGAGAACAGAATTTCTAAGCTGACCGGCCAAAGTGAAGTTCTGGCCACAGTTCTGATAAAAAGGAACCTCAGCTTCCTGAGTAAACCCAAAGAGTAGCCCAAGTTGAAATTCCTTCACAAGTGACAAAACAAAGTAATGAAGAAAATAAGAATGAAAATATACTGCCTACCAAGCTTGCTCCTGCATAAGCAGCTTTTTACAGTATTTATGTTTTCATCATGAAAGCAAAATATTCGAAGTGATTCAAGTTAGAAGCACAGTGTCATATCAAAAACCTCATGTTTCTAAGATCAGTAAAGGCAGAGGGCATAAATACAGTAAAATTTAAAAAATTTCTTCTCACCCAAATGACACAGTTCTCTAGTGTAATACTGCACTGCACTTTGCAGTCTTCTTAAACCTGTATTTCCGCAGAATTTATGCAAGCCCAGAAAAAGATAAGGGTGAGCCAGCCTGTTCCTGGATTCCAGCAGGGGAGAAAGAAGAAAGGACTCACACTACCTGGCACACCTGTGCACCTTGCCCTGTGTGAGGACCGGTGCGGTGTCCAAGTTGCGCTCCAATCTGCAAGTGAAGCAGCCGGAGGGTCTGAAGCAAAGGAAACTGAAGGCCTTAAGAGACAACAGAAGAGCAAAACCCAAAAGCCCAAAAGCCCCAGCCCTACGCTTCTATAAAGGTCAGTACTGTAGCAGAATTCCCGCCAACGTCGCCCAAACCTGCCCTCCCTGGCGAATGACAATTGGCCCGCTTCTCCTCCACTAGGAGCAGTGAAGGCTGGGGGAGTGGGGCGGGGCTACAGAGGCACGAGGCCCAGGGATCTAAGACACAGGGAGCCACAGCACACAGCGCTGCTTCCCCAGAAAGGAGGAAGAGGGGAGGAAGGAGCTCTCCAGTGCACACCCAGCCAGGCGTGCCGTCTTCCCGCCCGCAGGCAGATCGCCCTAGACCTTCCTGTTAAGTCGGAGGAACCCGTGCTCGCCAGATGGAAATCTCGCCGAACCACTACGCAGCCTCCAGGGCGGCCTCAGTGGCGGAGAGCTGCATCAACTACCAGCAAGGGACCCCCCACAAAGTGTTTCTGGTGCAGGCTGTGCAGCAGGCCCGGAAGGAGGTGAGTCCTGCTCTCCAGCCCTGCCCCGCCCTGTTTCTGAGCGCCACCCCACCCCCTCCGCTGTTAACCTTCCTGGGGACAGTCTGCATGCAGATAGCTGCAGCTGTTTGTGGTTTGTTTTTGTTCTGTTTTTGGACCATAAGATAGAAATATCTGTTTTTATGGACATTATTATAATGAAAAGGGAAAATAAATAAGGTGGTAATTTCCCCAAATGAGACCTGTAGGATTCATTTAAAAGAATCTGAGAACTGGTAGTAGGTTTCTGGACCAGTCTTCAGAAAATGCCTATTACAAAAGCTCCCTTCCTCCAAATGACTCACCATTGCCTACATTTGAAGACCAATCCTTATAATTTGACCAAAATGAAGATGGGATAAACTGACCAAGATAAACTGACAACCAAAGCTGGAGAATAAAGGCGTCCTGAACCCTTCACTGTCACTGTAACTGGATGCGCTCCTCTGGATAAAGGGTTGATTAAGTGTTTATGGCCTCAGAACACTGACTATGGATTTCAGGCTGTCATTTCACTGGGTTACAAACTTTCCATTTGTCTCTTGATTTTAAAGTGAAATACCTAAATGTTTCTTACTGTTATAAAATTTGTTTACTATCATTTGAGGGTACACTAATACAAAAGTAAAACCAGTATTTCAATGTATTAGGTTGCCAACCATTTTGCAGTCGTGTCTCAAAATGGAATTCACACTTACTTAACACTACTGGAGAATACACTGGCTTTATGAGAAACTCTTCCCAAAGGTGTATCTGCATTATTAGAATTAAAAGATCACAGATCCAAAGGGTGATTAATCCTGAGCTAAGCTCATCTTATTTTTACGCTTCTCTCCTTCATGAACTTGCTACAGAACCTGCTAACTTAAGACACTACATACCTTACAACATGCATTTTTCAACATGTAAAGGTTTAATCATTTCCTCCACCAGCCAGTCCTCCCAACCAAAAAAGAATGGATTCTCCTACCAAAGCACATACCTGACTTGCTAGTATAACATTATCTTCTCTCTGCCACAATTTTATTTTAGGATATTCCAGAAAGAGGACACAAGTATCACCTTAAGTTTTCCATAGAAGAAATTATCAAAAAAGTAAGTGAAATGTCTTTTTTAGTAAATGAAATGTGATTCTAAATATTCCAGATCATCTTTGCTAGTATTTGATCTAAGGCTATTAAAATTTTTAAGATTACTGTGACTCTAAAAAACAAAACAAAACAAAACTAACCATATGGGCAAAGCTTAAAATGGCTCATATTTTACTATCTTTATGTATTGCGATACATCCTGAGTTATTTCTATTGTAATACTTAGAAAATAGACTATATTACAGTTCTATAAGTTACCTTGCTACATACTCATAGGGCAGTCTGAATTACTGCTACTAGGTTCTGGACCTTTATATGACCGAATTAAGTAACTGATTTTCCAGTCTTGACCACTTTCTTATGGCTGCCTTTCTAGTTCTGTTCTTGATTGGGTAAAGAAAGTGTTTATACTTTATTTTGGTACCAGGGACTGAACTAAGGACCTTGCACTTGTAAGGCAGGTGGCAGCACCACTGAGCTAAATCCCTGGCCCAAGAAAGTATTTTTAGATATTCATGAGCAATAGAATTGTCAATTGATACCACTGTTAAAAATCTTTCCAGTAGGGAAAAGAAATTTAAGTGTGTGTGTGTGTGTGTGTGTGTGTGTGTGTGTGTGTGTGAAATTATTAGACATATTTAAAAGGAAATAACTACAAATGGCAACATAATCATCCTGAAACTTTAAAAAGCTTGCCCTTTTGTTGAGAATCATTCAGAAGAGATAAAGGCTAACATAAGGAAGTTCACTAAAAGGCATTTAAACTTCTAGACAGTTATCTTTACAAAGCATAACCATATACGACAATCTTTTAACTTTATATACAGATTTTTTCTCTCTCTGCATTTGAAAAAAAATGTGCTATTTCAGGAGCAAGAAGTAAGAAGAATAGAAAAACATAAAAACTTAATCACAGCACTATCTTAATGCATACTAAGACCCTGGATTCATTGCCCAGTACCAGGGAGGGGGAAAAAAAGGTAACTAATCTTGAGTTGGTATATAAAGTCAGACTAAAATCTGGTCTTACAAATGTAACACTCCACTAGTATTGAAATATATTAAAAGTTCAAAGTTTTAGGACTAGAATTTACAAGATTATGTATGAGAGTAGGTTATATGGTAAGATACTTAATGTTAGGTAGTTGCATGTTTTCTGTAGAAAATTGATGGGTTAGGCTCAGTTAGATAGTTCCCAAAACAGTTACTCTGAAGTGAAGTCTGAAACAGTTAACCATCAGTGCTCTAAATCCTAGCTCAAACAATAATAATTAGTAATGGATGGGTACCTGAAAGTAAGGATCTTTTGTGAAAATATTTCAAACAGCAAGTTACAGTGAACTGCACAGCTGAAGTACTTTACCCTCCGGTGGGACAAGGTACTGCACCAGAAGTCAACTTCACATTTGAAGGAGATATTGGGAAGAACCCAGATGAAGAAGATAACACATTTTATCAAAGACTCAAGTCCTTGAAGGAACCACTAGAAGCACAAAATATTCCAGGTATATACATATGGAATGGAAAAGTACTTTTTCCACCTTTAAGACTGATCTTATTCATGCTCAAAATTGTTAAATGTTAACTATACTGTAAATATCCTGGCTTTGGCAAAAATACTCATTTCCAAAGTAATCCAACAAAAAAAAGGGGCCATAAAACTTTACAGATCCATGGCTTCATTACATTGTTTCTGTATACATGTGAAGAAAACTAAGACATGACTTAGAATTTAGATTTTTAAAAACGGTTAATACTGGATACACAGCATGATTACATGAAATATATTCCTGTTTCCCCCACCAGACAGCTTTGGAAATGTACCTCCACAAATGAAGCCAGTTCGACACTTAGCTTGGGTTGCTTGTGGTTATATAATATGGCAGAATTCTACTGAAAACACATGGTATAAAATGATAAAAATTCAGACTGTCAAGCAAGTGGTAAGTATTCTCTATAACGTATGCTGTTAGGGTTAATGTTAATTAAAAGTACTATAATTCACAGTTGGATATAGCATCCCTAAAGTCATTTTGCATTTAAAATACAGTGGTGAACTTGGTATTCTGAAGCATCTAGTCCCGAATCCTAATTAAGACTAGAGAAGATGAGTACTTGTAGGAAAAGACCAAAGCAACAGCAACTCGTCCAAAGAAGTCACTTAACGGCTACAGGATGAAAACTACAGACCTCCTTTGCCTCAAATTTGTCTTCCTAGTAACTGTACTGGGTTAGGTCATATACTGACGAGACAGTATAACAATACCAAGGCAAATCCAAAGATTTCAGTGATACTTTTCTAGGAATAAGTAGTATGTAGATTGTACTTGTACAGGACAATATGGTAATGATGGTTTTTAAACCTTTCATGTTAGGCAAGTGAGATTAAATTAAGATGATTCACTCAAGCCCTCTTCTACAGCAAAAGGTTCAGTGACTATTAGCACAGGTAAGACAGAATCCCAGGTATATGCTCTATACCTATAATGATTTTCTTGGTCTCTAACGTGCTACACAGAAGGCCTCAGAGCTCTTTTTACAGCCATCACTAGCAAAGCTGCACTTTCAAGAAAGTCTAAAGTTAACAATTTGTAGTTTTTGTGCTCAGCTAAATATAAATTATTTCCTTTAGCAAACTAAGTTTTGTATTCAAATTACTCTTGTCATGCAATACTGAGATTGTTTTTATTCTCTACTCATAGTGGTCACAGCTACTTAAGAGATATAGCAGGCTTTTTCCCACCAGGGATTAGTACTGGTGTTGCCGGCTTTGTGAAGTTTGCTGTATTGTCTCAAACAGTTCTATTATTTGTTCTTTAGGTAGCTGTATATAACTTCATTTTATAGCCCATTTGGCCATAATTTACAATTTCTTATCTTATTTGTTGCTAGCCGTATGTTTCATTGTCTGATACAATGACTAGAAGTGAATCATTGTAGATCTTAAAGACATAGAATAAACGCTTTTATTTTGCTTTATTAATAGCCTAAAAAGAAAAAGTGGAAAGAAACCACAAAAAATAGTTTTAGCTCAATGGGAGAAAAGGACTTTCCTTTCTCCCTTGTAGCTAGAGCACCTTTTTGCCAAAAGCTTTTGCAGCCACTTATGAGACAACTACTCACATTGGAGGGCAGGATACCCAATTACTTTACTTAGAGTGTCATACCAAAAACCTAACCTAAGTATTACAACATTTTCAGAAAGAGAGTGAGCTTTTTTCCTAACATATTTCATAGACAGCAACCTTGCTTATAACATTCCCTTTGGGTACTGAAGCCTCAGTAGCCGAGTCTAGGTGGAGAGGTTATAAAATTATCATAATTTCTCAATGTAACCTTTCACCAAATTGTGATTTTTTTTAAGTATTAATGAAAGTCTCACTAGAAGCGTTTAAATACTTCACTTTATATGCATCCTATCTCTTTACCTATTAAAATCTAAATGTAAGAACCGTTACAGACATATATATATTATCTTTCAGGGGCATTCTTTGTCGCTATTATTTAGAGAAAAGATTACTTCAAGATACTACAAAGAAACATATGCTTGTCTGACCCTGGAGCCACACTTACAATCACTATTAACCAAAGGAGCCCAGGAATTTGAGCTGCTTGGAAATCTAGGGTTTGTCTCAATATACCAATTATATCTCAGGGATTTAGCTCAGTGGTGCCGCCGCCTGCCTCGAAAGCACAAGGTCCTGAGTTCGATCCCTGGTACCAATCAAATATCTTAAGGACCCCTTTGTAGAACAGCAGGTCTGAGGATGATGGCTTTAACCTATGAAGATACAGTCTTTCTGTGTAGCTGGTGGCATATTTTTAGTCCCAAATGGAGAATTTCCAGTATTAAATTGGTTTCTTTTAATGAAGGCACACACTGCTATTTCCTTTATTGGTTTTTTTGGCAGTAGTGGGAAATGAACTTAAGCCATTGCATACACTAGGCAAGCACTGCTCCACTGAGGTTCATTCCTAACCTTTTTATTTTTTGAGTCAGAATCTTGCTAAATTGCCCAGCCTGACCTCAAACTTGCAATCCTCCCACCTCAGCCTCCCAAGTAGCTGGGATTAGAGGAACGCTCCACAACATACTATAATACAGTTTATAATGTAATAAAATATATTAAGTAAAGGATAATTTTTCTCAACAAGGGAAATATTAGTGATTCTTAAATAGCAAGCTACACACAATAATGCTTTTAAGTAGCTACTACACCTTGAACAGTAAATAGGTAAAACTGTTATTACAATAACAAATATAAAATCATGATTTTTTTTTTTTTGTACCAGTGATCAAACTCAGGTCCTTGTGCTTGCGAGGCAGGTGCTGGATCCACTTAGCTAAATCCCCAGCCATTTTGAAATCATGATTTTAAAATGTTGTTTGAAAGAATACTTATTTAATGTGAGAGAATACCAGTAGTTTTTCTGTCAAGCTAAAGTGAGGTAAATTATGGCATTGAATTTTTATTTTTACCTAAGTGAAATTATTATAATTATTAATTAAAGCTAATCTTAAAAATCAAAATGTCACTTTCCCCCCAGTGATACTGTTTTAAACACCAGGTTTTAATTTTTTGTCACAGCAAAGAAATGATGACTTTATTGAATTAGACTATACCATTCTACTTCATGACATTGCATCGCAGGTAAAGTATAATTTGTCTTTATTTGATACCACTTTAAAAACAGAATCCTTTTAAAGCCCCAGTGTTCTTTTGTTAATTTTGACCATAAGTCAGAATTCATGTAAATTTAGATAGGCATTAGGTCAAAGTATATGATACTCAGAAGCAGTTTAACTCATTTTGTGCTATTCTTTAAGAAGACTTCTGTTTTCCATAAAATATAAACTGAATTATCTTGTTTTCTGCATTTTATCATGCCATTAATTTGTTTGTTTTTTTACTTGCAGGAGATTATTCCTTGGCAAATGCAAGTTCTTTGGCATCCACAATATGGTACAAAAGTAAAACATAGTAGCCGTCTCCCAAAGGAAGTAACACTGGACTAAACAAAGACCTTGCATGGAGATGACACCTAGACAAGCCTTTGGATGACATGTACGCCAGTCTTCATTGGTATCTAGTCTAAAGGACCAAACAAATCCCAAAGTGTCAGTTTGTACAGTGTCTCATCTACTTTACAAAGCAACATATATTCCATAATAAAAGATGTCCCTACATAAAAGTCTTTATAGTAGTAATAATGCAATGTATATCTTATAATAAAGTTTTCATTTCAGTCTCAAAGTCTAATTGTGTCACATACTTACGGAACAGGAGCAGTTATGGTCTCTCTAAAGGCAACTTTTGGTTTTCCTGTGATACAAGGACAGCCATATTCTCTTTCCATTCTCTAAAAAGAATGAGAGAAAATTTTGAGGTATTTTAAAAATAAAATGAAAGAAAAAAATCCTAGGTTTCTTACATACGTTAGTAGCATTTAAATAACCAAATACCAAATCTTAAATCATTTTAGTAGTTTATAAAGATTAGGTATTTCAAAGTACAAATGCCTTTATAGAATTTTAGATACATGAAATCCAATTTAATTGTGTATACTTATCACTAATCTATCCACTAAGATTTTACCATTGTTCACTATTACTTTCCCTGGAATGATATATAAATCAATTGTCAGAATTTTCTATCTCAGCTTCAAAGATAATGATCATGCCACAATTACCAGTCCTAGCTTTTGTGTTCATTTATACACATACACATGCACATAAATACATGTATGTACGTATGTATGACCTTCCCTAAGAACATCCTTGCTTTTATCTATGTTATAATGATCTTCAAGTATTGATGAGATGAAATTATCTAAAGAATGACGGCAGACTGTCACATCTAGGGCTGGAATGGATTCACCTGACGCAGTTAACCAGGACCTGGGAAGGATGGATGGATGGTCATGTTGAAAATCCCACCAGCTGATTCTAGGAGTCCACGTTTAACAAATAAAAAAAATTTAGAAATCAAACTAATTTGTAATGTACAGTGGAAGCAGCAGCACACTACATCTGAACAAACCACAATAAAGCCTGAAGAATTAATATTAGTTTACAATTACACTGAGCATTATCCATTTTCACTCCTGATGAAACACACAGTGATAAATTTAATTCAACTTCTTCATTTTCCATTACCTGAGCATAGATTTCCAGGTGTAGTTCTCCCATTCCAGATACAATTGTCTCTTTGCTCTCGGCATCAAAGTGGACTTTAAATGTGGGATCTTCTCTTGTAAACCTGGCAATACCTTTTGAAAATTTGTCCAGATCATTCTTTAAGAGAAGGAAAGTCATATATTTTGCTAAGTATGGTAAGCACTGGTACATCTGAAGGAAATTAATTATATTAATTAGGATGATCCGTGTCTAGCTCTACTTCACTCATTTTTTTTATTAAGTTTGGATACCACACAGCCAAGAGAGCAGGGAATAGCTACAGAAAAGAACATAAAGCTGCTTGATTAATTTAGTTCACTGAGAATCACGTTGCTGACCTGCAGAACTGTAAAATAACACATTTGTGGTTTGTTGTTGTTTTTTTGTTTGTTTGTTTTGTTTTTGGTACCAGAGATCGAATGTGAGTCCTTGCACTTGTGAAGCAGGCACTGAGCTAAATCCCAGGCCCAATTTTTGTTGTTTTAAGCCACTATATTCGTGCTAATTTTTTAAAGCAGCAATAGCAAACTAACATGCCCTGTATTATTAGTACTACCAGCCCTTGTTTATTTACATGCTTAAAGCTATGATAATGTATTTTGCACGTTATCTCAAACCTAATCACAATGCTGCAAGGCAGAATTTTCTGTCTTTTACAGATGAGGAAACTATGTACAGAAAGGTTAAGTAACTTGTTCAAGAGCACATGGCTAGTGTATGACAAAGGTCGAATTTTCCTCTGCACTGGACACTCAACTTAGCAAAAGCGTCATCCTTGATTCCATTATGGAGACTCAGCTTTACGCAGATACTTCATCATTTGATTTGAATGACTTTACTCCAGCAAGCAGATACGTTTAAACTTTTTTTTATTCATTGTTTGTTGGTCCATTTCAGGTGTACATTATGATCACACTCATTACTGGGATTTGGTACCCGTACATGATGTATCTTGGTTCTTTCTGTTTTCCCCCATTCCCCTTCCCTCCTTTCACCCTTCCCATTTACAAAAGCTTTGCTTCTGTTTTTTCCTTCTCTTCTCATTTTTTTCTTTCCCTTCTTTCCTTTTCCCACCCGTCCTCCACAGTTCCCCTTCCTCTTTGAAACTTCTCTTCCTATTTCACATCATCTGCTATACATTTTGGTCCTCATTTATACTTTCAGTTTTTCACACCAGAGAAACAATTCAGTATTTTTGTTTTCCTTTGTACCAGGAATTGGACTCAGGGCCTCGGGCTTGCCAGGCAGGTACTGCACCACTGAGCTACATCCCCAGCCCAACAATTCGGCATTTACGCATGTGTGTTCTATTTATTTTACTTAGGAGTATGACCTCAAGGTGCATCCATTTAGCTATAAGTCTCATTCTTTATGGTTGAGCAGTACTCCCTGGGAGGGGTTTTTTTCTGGGGATCGAACTCGGCACCTGGAGCTTGCGAAGCAGGTGGCAGAACCACTGAGATAAATCCCTGGCCCTGTAGTACTCCATTTTATAAGAGAAAACAAAACAAAGCAAAAAAAAAAAAAAAACACATTTTTTAAAACTGATATGCAGAATTTATTAAGCTTTACACATGTAACAGACCGCAATTTCAATTGCATCCAAAGTGCTAACAAAAGCTCTAGCAATCAAGAATGGCAGCATGTCATTTCATAATAATCATCACTGTGGCTTTTAAAATTTGGTTTTCAGAAGAATCTATCTTCAAGTAAATCTAGTCATGCTTTTGAAAATTGCTTGAAGTCACTCCAGGCTTGGCAGTTAAACAAGAAAACAATCACAATTTGATACATGACAGATAACACTGTAGGCCATAAACATACAGCATAAGGAAATGATAGCGGTGGTATACGTCAGTAGTCACTCAGTTACTAGACTTCCTTGGCCTCTATGCAGAGGGCTTCATTCACTAGCCTGGACATCCAGTTTTCAAAGTAGGAATGATGCCTACAGTATCACTTATAACACTGCAAACAAGCAGAGAATGAGGAATTCATCTTTGTTGATAAATTACACCCTCAGGACTTTACAGTAACACCTTAGTATAAAAAGGTTCAAGTGGTATCAGCCGTAACTGTGGGCTTATTTTAAAAGATGCTAAATGGATTAAGTGGAGACAGCAATGCTTCCCCCAACGGGACTAAGCTTACCAGGTTTACAGCTATCAAGACCTAAAACACTTCAGGTGTCTGAACTGAACACAGATGAGCACACTGGTATCTCAACCTGATATTCTCGACACTGTTGTTTGGTCAACTGTCCTTTTACTCTGAAATTAAAATTTAATATGTCAAAAGGTGATATAAGTGGCGTAATAACCAATATGCTGAAATGGTTATAGTCACAAATGGCAGTTAAGGACATGGGGAGATCCTACTCCCAAGTCACTCCGTAGTTGGAATCACTGTATATACTGTCACACGACTATAACAAGTTGAATTTAAAGCTGTTTACTTTAGTCTGGCATCTTCACACACACTAAATAGTGTACCTTATATGAAAACTGTTTATTCAAACACAATTTTATAGCTGTTAAATTCTTCCCTTAAATGTAAATAAAATGGCACAAAAACTTTTTAATAACCAGGACTCAGAAAATTTAAAATAATTTGAGTTAGGAATCAAATATACACAGTCAAAGAAGGGAAAAAAGTCATTTAAAAGACAAAGATCCAAGTAGCATCTCAGATGCAAAGCAATTTTGTAAAGTAGGGAAGCAACTGTGATCACCCGCAGCTTCTCAGATCATTCTAGCAAGTGTCTGTATAATAGTATTTCCCTAAATAAAGGGCCTTGAATGCACATTCCGGGTGGTTCCTGGGAGGAGAAGCAAAATATTTTCATTTGTTTAACTCACAAACTATTTGGTCAAAGCTAAATAAAAGCACATCTGGTAGAAATCCGTAGCAATGAATGTTGACAAGATGTGCTTGGATCTTGTGTGCAGCCTCTGGCAGTGGGTAGTGGAACAAAGGCAGCAATCTCACAGGCTCTCCTGTGTCTGTTCTGTGGGCGGCTCTGCGTCAGCAGCACTAGCATTTGCAGTTGAATTGAAGACTTCTCCAAAATCACCGCCAGCAGGCTTGGTTCCCCCTACTTTAGACTAAATTTTCAACCTTTTCTTCAAATGACTTGAAAGTTGGGGAGTTTTTTCATGTCTTCCAGCTTTTTGTGATGAAAGAGCCAACAGATGAAAAGGCCGCTGGAGCCTTCTGTCCAGCTTGAGATAAGGTTTCAGAGGTCTTCCTGTATGCGCGCGTGGATGTCACATCCTGCCACCCTTTGGCAATGTTCTGCTTTAGCTCCTCTACTGAACCAACCCCAAGTTCCTGGCTGATCTCTGCTAGATGCCTCTCTTTTGCTACTAACACTTGAGACAGAGTCTGGATTTCTTCTTCCAACTTTGCCAGCTCTCTTTTCAGCTCTTCCTGCTCCTCTTCTGAGAGTATCTGGGTGGCACTGAGCACAGCTGCAGCATCTGCTCCTTCCTCGGGTACTGGGTCTGTCCTCAGCAATCCATCTTTCTGCATAGGTGATCCAGGTGGAGATAAATTCCCACCAGGGGACAGACAGAGGTACTTTATGTTCACTCCTGCACTGAAATCAAACAGGGACTGGTAGTCTTCATATAAGTCTGTGTCTCTGTCATCGTTCTCAGACAGAGGCAGAACGCACGGCTTTAGGGCCACCTAAGCTTCTTCCAGTTGTGTGCCCCTTTGGCCTTTCTCCCTTTGCCCACATCTTCTTTATCCAGTCACCAGCTGATGGGCGTTTGGGCTGTTTCCAAGATTTAGCTTTTACAAACTATGCTGCTATAAACATGGGTGCACATATGTATAAACAACCCAGGAACACTGCAAAATCTTTTGAGTTATTGATGCATTTCATTTCCCTCCACTACTGTGATTTATTAACAATTAAATGTCTTACATAAACTCTGGATTTAGGAATGAAAGGCATTAACACCTTTAATTCATAACCCTGCATATTTCCAAAGAGAAAAGCAAGCAGTCTTAGCAAAGCACTTGGAACAACTACTGGAACAACTAAAGTGAGATGCAACGTTTGCGCTTCTTCAAGTTTCTAGGAAGGTGAAATGATTACTGTTTCCTGCCCCCCCAGTTTTTTCTTTCCTCCACTGTTGGGGCTCATATCTAGACGAACCCCACCAAAGCCCTATGAGCTCATAGGTGGGGCTTTCAGGAGGTGACTGGATCATGGGGGCATAACGCTCATTACTGGATCGGTCCGCTGATGAGTTTATAGCTAAATATGCCTTGGGAGGTAAAGCCCGGTGGAAGGAGGGAGGGGTCACTGGGGTGTGGGCCGGAAGGGTCTGTCTCCTTCCCTCCTCCCTTGGTCCTTCTCTGCTTCCCACTGCCACACATGGACTGTTTCTCCTCTGCCATATCCCTCTGCCTTGGATCCAGTCGATTATGTAGTGCAACTTCGAGGAGCTGTGGGCCAAAACAGACCTTTCCTCCTTTAAGTTGTGGGTGTTGGGTATTGTGTCCTGGTAAGGGACACAATTAAGACATATTACTGAAAAAGATCTGGAAAATCCCAAGGTTCTTCAAAATAGAGGAAGGAATAGCTGTTATAATGTATCTCCTATAACAGATTCATCAGAATATTCTCTATTCTGTAATGATAGTTCCTACCTAACAAAAAGTCATAAAGGGTTCACTCAATGTGTAAATAAATGCATTCCAATAAACCATGTTAACATGACCGTTGTCAATGCCAAGACAACACAGGAACTAAGTAATTATGGCATAAAATGAGATTAATTCCAAAGGCAAGCGACGTAAATGCAAAACATTCAAGCTGATTTTGCCTGTGTAAAATGTCACATGATATGAAACACAATTGTAAAAGTATAAAAACAGAATTAGCCAGGAGTGGTAACACATGCCTGTAATCCCAGCTACTTTGGAGGATGAGGGTAGGAAGATGACAAGCTTAAGACCAGCCTAAGCAACACAGCCAAACTATGTCAACATTTAAAAATAAGAATGTGGGGGGTGGAGAATGGGGATGTAGCTCAATAGTAGAGCACTTGCCTAGCACACATGAGGTCCTGGGTTCAAATCCTAGTAACTGAACAAAACAACACAAACAAAAACAAAGAGAAAAAAGAAAAACAAAAACAAAATGTAAAATTGTATTTGGGAATAAGAAAGTCTTATAGTCTCCTGATGTTATTCTCAGACATGTACTTCCTAACTACCACAAAATCTCGAGGTGTACAATAAATCATGAGGCAAATAATCTCTGTGACATCCTAAAGTGCTTTATGGTAAAGTTTTACTACAACTTAAGACAAACATTTCTGTTTCCCCTTTTTTCAGTACTTTAAGAATCCAAAAAGGTTCCTTTAACATTCTGGGGCCAATGACAAAGTTAAGAGTTATGAAGTACAGGGCTGGGCTCAGTGGCACCACACCTGCCTTGCAAAGGCAAAGTCCTGAGTTTGATACCCAGTACTCCCCCAAAAAAGTTATAAAGTACAGTCTGGTGATTATGAAAATACCATTAATTTCTTCAAATATACTGAAGAATTATTAGGAACAGACTAGGAAACTTAAAAAGGTGATCTCAACACCAAAAGAGGAAACAGAGACCACAAAATTGCTGATTATGACAAAATATGTATACGTAGAGGTACATGAAAGCTCAAGTTTTTATCATGACATCCTGAACTTTAAATCAAATTCCTACCTTGTTAGAAGGCTTCATTGCTACTGAAATGACAGGATCAGGAACATGAATTGACTCCTGAAATATTTTTTAAAAAGACGGAGAATAATTAAAAAACAGCATTATAAGGATCATGGATGAAAAAATTTAGCATGCAACTTCACTACAGAACAAAGAACAAATACTAGTCAACATCTTTAAGATAGACAATACATTCCTTGGTCTGTTTTACATGAAGTAAGAGAATATATTAATGTAACATGTTAGTACATAAATAAAGTCATCCATTTGTATGATCTACCTCCAAAAACTAAATTATTTAACTGTATTAAATCACTGCAATAAATCCAAATTCAGATACATGGAATTCTTATTCCCTTGTGGCTACATCTGCTATTGCTGTAAGTTACTTCATTTAACCAAAATATACTAGGATAACGCACACAGAAAGGGTTCTAGAATCTTTATAAAGATATCTTATTTATACAGGTGACATTTTATTTAATTAGTCACAGTTCTGAGAAGCAAGTATTAGCCTCATTTTATAAATAATGTCTCTAAAAGACTAGAAGGAAGATAAAATAACTTAGCTAAGGGCCAGGCAAATACTTCCCACAACATTCACTCATGTCCCATTGCAAATGACAAAATATGCAGATAAGATCTTATCAATAACACAAAATGTTCCTAGATCTCAAACAAAAATTGTATAGATTTTTGTAGTGTTTTAAACTAACAGACTATACCCAAGGTTATTACAGAATATGTTATACCAAAAAACCTCTTATGATAAATTCATCATATGATACAGGCACTCTTAAAGTGGTCATCTGGTAGAGATAGACCAGTCCTTATGGAAATGAGCTATGGTAGCTCACCTGATCCCTCATGCATGCCATGTCCCTTCCTACTGAATTCAGGTGCGGGTTACCCTCATTAACAGAGGATTATAGTACAGGAGACCCTGCCCTCCTAACAGGGGCATAAAAGTGGAATGAACGAAGGAGACTCAAAGGGAGGAATTGCCTGACCAAGCTCTTCCCTCAGGATCCTGCCCTAAGAAAAAGGGACCTCTGAATTCCAAACGGCGGGCTGTCCGCAGGAAGTCTGACTGTCTAATCTTATCTTGCCCTCTGAGCCTGGCTATGCCTGTCATCCCCAAGTCTAGTCTAAATGCTCCAGTCTAGTCTTAAAGTTCTACAGGTGCTAGAGGGAATGGTCTACTGGAACTAGCCTGATGACAACAGCAACAATTAGAAAGGCACCCATATTTGGGACACAGAGTTCGGGGTGGAGGAGTCAGAGCTTCACGGTCCAGGTGTTACCTCTAGAAATTTCTCCTCCACTTTAATCTTTGGAAGATTATAGAATTTTATTCAAAGAACAAGCTAAGTTAGCTTATACAAAGTATTTCTCCAATTCATGTTCAAAGAGCTACAACCAACAAAGAGCCTCAATGAACTTGATGCCTGTGGCACTAAATGAAACTTCTGTAGTTGTTCTTCTGAAGTACTAAATGCACTACATAACCACAGACTTTTGAAATTCAGATAGAAAACAGCTTTGAAATTAAACAGCTTACCATAGAAAGGCCACTGTTATCTTTGCTTGTGAATGTGTCTCCACTAGCACAGTCAACGCCAAACAAGGCACAGATGTCTCCAGCATATACTTCCTCAACATCCTAAATAACGCAAAAGGATACTTGCAAGTAATACAAATCCAGAGATAATAACTACGAAGTCAATGCGCAATAAATACAACGTATATGTACAACATAGCATTTCTCACCATCAATGCTAGACAGAATAAAAATGCAACCCCAACAAGCACCCTGTGCAAGACTGATCTCCAACTAATCTATTTAAAACACCCATCAACAGCCAAGATTTTATTTCAGGTAAAGAACTCACACCTATGGCTTCATTACTTGAAGGATATACGTACTGACAAAATATAGTGTCTCACAGTTCTAAAATTATTTTCATGGATTTAGAAAGCACACACTATGTGTACTGGCACAGACAATGTAATCATATATGACAGATGTGTATATATATATATATATATATACACATACACATGTGGAAAAATTCACAAAAGAAGTTCTGAAAACAGAAGCAGAAGAATGGGTGTGCCCACTGTACCAAAAATATTTTTAATTTCTCACAGACGCAAACATTCAAGTAAACACAGGAATGTCAAGAACAAAGCACTGCTGCTTCCCAGTTTCCTAGTCATTGTCCTTTCATACTGACACTTCATTCATCAGCCGTAGAGGCAGTTAACAAGTGAGTGTGTCTTCTGTAATGGTTATGCAGCGGTACACATCTCCATCCATCTGGCCCAAGAAACAGCTACGAGAATCATTAGTCCTCCTGGGCTGCCTCCTGCTGCTTATCTCAGAAAGCATCGAAGCTCTTCAATTTTGAGACTTCTTATTTATTTTCCAAGACAAAAGCTATGGTTTCCAGAAACTAAGATTTTGCCTAGACAAATAAGTTTCTCTGAGAATATAAAACTGAATTGGAGAAGGGTAGAGGTGGAGACAACCTCACACATTCAGTATTCCTGCAAAGGCCTAACAAATATAAAGACCCGATTCAAAATTGGGCATCTGAAATGAACAGACATTTCTCAGACAAAGAGGTAAAAGCAGCAAGTAAATATATGAAAAAATGTTCCATGTCACTGGTCATTTGAGAGATGCAGATGAAAACAACACTGAGATTCCACCTCACCCCACAAAGAATGGCTGCTATCAAGAAATCAACCAGTAACAAATGTTGGCGGGGTTGTGGGGAGAAAGGAATCCTCCATTGTTGGTGGGAGTGCAGACTGGTTCAACCACTATGGAAATCAACATGGAGATACCTCAAAGAGCTGGGACTAGATGTTCCATTTGACCCAGCCGTAGCTCGGCTGGGTATCTTTCCAAAAGAATTAAAAGAATCATATCACAGTGACATATGCACACCCATGTTTATAGCAGCACAGTTTGTAATAGCTAAAACTTGGAAACAGCCCATTCACCCATCAGTTGGAAACTGGATAAAGAACATGTGGTATTTCTATAAAAATGGAATATTACTAAGCCATAAAGAATGAGAAATTAGACTCATTCATAGGAAAATGGATACATATTGAGGATATGCTCCTAAGTGAAATAAATAACTCACACATGTGTAAATACTGAATAGTTTCTCTGGTGTGAATAAACTATAATAGTACATAAGATCCTAATGATATAATGGACAACGTGAAATAGGAAGAAAGGGGCTAAAGGTGTAGGGAAAGTGGGAAGGGTAGGGGAAAGGTAATAAGGGAAAGGAAAAAAATATGAGAAAATGAAAAACTGGAAATGAAGTGATTGTAAAGGGGGAGGGAGGAGGGGTGAAGGGAGGGCAGGGACAAGAGGAAAAAATGAGAACCAAGACCTGTCATGTAGAGGTACAAGATCCCAATGATGAAGGTAACTGTACCCTGTACCTAAAATGTACCAATAAAACTCAATGAGGCAAAAATAAATAGATAAAGAAAAAAAAAAAAAAAGACTACAGAAAGCTAAGAAAGATTCAGAGCAATCCAAGTCTTAAATCAAAGACCCAGGGGCTAGATCTTGAAAATTTTTAAATCTTCATGTGGTTTCTAGTTCCAAAATGGCCATTTTTAGGATTCTATAATAGGAGTGAAAGCTCTAGGGTTAAACAGGACTTTCATATCTGTCACATTTAAGAAAGCAAAGCCAGGGAACCATATGAAAAATTATGCATAGGTTTATTACTCTCACTTAACTTGAAGAAACAGTTCTACTATCCTTCTTACCTATTAAATTCTTTGTAGCCCTCAAGTGAAGTGCTGAATCTTGTGGTGATCCTTACAGAACTAACTGTTCCTTTTCTTGAAACTTAGCTATTTAGGAAATAATGCTAACTTACAAACAATGGTACAAAAGGAGTGCTTAACCCCTGACAATGAAAAACTGCACAAAAGTGCTACATGGGAACAACAACACAGCTAAGGAAAAAGGAAGAAGCAAGGAAAAATGTCCATGCCACCAGAAGTGATTTTTCTAGTGGGACTCAGGATACCAAGAAGACAGGTCCAGGTCTACTTCTGGGCATGAGAGGAGCGTCAGACCACGCTGTGGCCACATACTTGCCTCCATCTTGTCAGCGTGCATGCGCACCAGCCGCTGCACCCGCACCTTCTTCCCAGTCCTGGTGTTATAGATGGTGTCACCCTTCTTCAGCTCTCCCTGGTAACTGCGGACATAAGTTAACTGTCCAAATCGACCTGCCTAGAAGTCAAGGTTGGGTACAGCAGAAAGCATTGGAAGAAACAAGATTAACATTTGAAGCAAATTATTCCCTTCTAATTTCAGTAAATTCTTTTAATACACATTTGTTTGCTGCTACACATGAAGCACTATGAACAAAAATAAAATCACTTAGATGGTTGCTGTTTAGCCACCTATTTGGTGTCACAATCTAAGACACTTCTTAAATGTCCTCGAAAATAAGTTACCGGAAAAAATTTTAACTGTTTAAGTGTCCCTTGGCCTTCTAGTACTGTCTCGTAAGCTCAGCTTATATATGAAACAAAAATGAGGTAGAATGGCTGAAAAGAACACAAAAATATCTTTAGAAGTATACCACTTATCTAAAGTTACTTTTGATAATTATGTAGAAAATAATAGAGTTCTGTGAATGACTAAACAGGCTAACAATGACTAATTAGATGTAAATTTAAAAGTTGCCAATTCTTAATATGTTAATTATGCACTTAATACCACAGCAATTTAAATCCCAACTGAAATTTTTAAGTAACTGAATAGTGATTTTAAAATTCATTTAGAGGAATATATAGGTAAAAAAAATTTTTCAAAAACTATGATAATAAGAAAGTAACTCTGATATAAAAATATTAAATGCTCAAAAATTCAACACAAATTAAGCAAAGCGTAAATAGCTAAAGTGTAAAATACATTTGTTAATAAATAAGTAAAGGAAATATGACAAATTGATGGAAAAGAATAGGACTGTTCATAAAGTGATAGCTGGTGTTCTATTTGGAGGCAGAGAAAGATACATTAAAATTCCACCTTGGGCCGGGGATTTAGCTCAGTGGTTCGGTGGCCTGCCTTGCAAGCGTAAGGACCCGAGTTCAATCCCCGGTACCCACCCCCCCAGAAAAATTACAAAACAGAAAAAACAGCATATAAATATATGTGAAAACATTCTTTTTAGAAATGATGTAAGTTGACACACATGACTATTAAATCAGTGATCATTTTTATGTAATAAGACAATACTAATATAAAGATTTCATCAAAGTGACCTACCACATTACTTCTGAGAATGTGAAAGTAATCGAACAATATAAACCATGAAATACTATAATACTGTAATATTCTATACTCAATAATCACTGGCAATTGCAAACAATTTTGGGAATCGAAAAAATAGTCCTACATGCATATTTTTAAAGCTACATGAATAAAAATTTCACTGCAATGTTATATCTAGTTTTCAATGTTATTTCTAGTTTTCCTCATTTGAGGATATTATAAATTTTTTTAAATGGGGAAAAAAATCCAAAAGTAATTCTACCACATAAACAAACTACTTTTAACACTTTCAACATATCCACATGAAGCCAGGCAAGGTAGCACACACCTGTAATCTCAGGAGGCTGAGGCAGGAGGATCACTGTGAGTTTGAGACCAGCCTGGGCTACACAGTGAGTTCCAGGTCAGTCTCAACTACATAGTGAGACCCTCTCTCAAAAAAACAAACAAACAAACAAAACAAAACAAAAAAAACATATCCACATGGATCTCACTTAAAATATTTTGAACAGGAATAACAACCTAACAACAATAAATCCAGTGCCCAATATGCCTGAAGCATCTGTAGCTCTAGAGAATAAGGAAGTATTCAAAAAAGTACTATGTTGGAAGATGTCAGAAGAACACAGGAACTAAGTGAAAGAGCTCCCAAAAGCTAAACCTGGCCAATTGAAGCAACAAAAATAACATACAACTGGATTATAACTCAAAGTATAAAGTAAGTAATATCTACAAGTTCACAGTGATATGATTGACTAAAGAAATAATTCAATGAGGAAGGAGACAAATCTCCCATACAGAATAACTCCAAGTAGATTAAATACATACAGTTGCCTTAGGGAGGGAAAGTATTATTTCCCACCCCTTAAGTGTGGGTTAACAATGTTGCCTTCCTTCTAAAGAGTGCACTAAAAAAGGTGGACAAGGTGAGGAGTAACTTTACAGCAGAGAAATCTGACAAACACTGCCAGTCATGGGGTCAAAGTTACATTAACAGTGATGAGCCATGGTGAAAGTCTGTGCCTTTGGTACAATGTGACAAGAATGACACTTCACCTCTGTGGTTATCTTCCTATGAACACACGATCACAATCTGATCATGATGGGAACATCAGAAAAATGCATGGGACATTCTATGCAACATGGCAATGTCATGAGAAACAAGGAAAGCCTAAGAAGCTGTAACAGAAGGTCTAAGATCCCAATGATGAATGGCACTGTATTGTATACCTAAAAAGTGCCAATTAACTTGATGAAAAAAAAAAGAAACTGTGACAGTCTGGAGGAGCCTAAGGAGACAAGATAACTCAATGTAACATGGTACATGGATGGACTACTGAGATAGAAAGGTGACAAAGCAAATACTAAGGAAATCTTAGTGTGAACGGGGTGTGGATTTGTGAATAATGATAGTATATCAACATGGAGCCATTAATTATGACAGTTCATTAATAAGAAATCTGGGAAAAGGATATATAGGAATTCCCTGTACTATTTTTATAACTTCTAAGTATCTAAAATAACAACTTCATTAAAAAGAAAAAACCACAGGTATCTTTCCATGTCAAAAAATAAGCATCTCAACATAACTTTTAAAGTCTGAATAATGTTCCACTGTGAGATGTATCTCAGTTTCTTTACTCCAACTGCAATCAATATCTTGGCAGTTTTAAAAGTACGAATTTATTTTTGTAAGCCAAGATAAGATAAGCAAATTGATACTACCTTTCATTACCCTCCATTAGTTTCTTGGAACAAATTTATAGAAGTAGACCCACTATTACTATAATAGTAAAGACCAGGAAAAATATAGACATCCAATAAGCAAAAATTTTAAGCAAATTATGGCATGTCTACCTAAGAAAGAGCCGGGGATTTAGCTCAGTGGTTATGCCGCCAGCCTCATAAGTACAAGGTCCTGAGTTCAATACCTGGCACCAAAAAAAAAAAAAAAATCCTTACATCACAGGACCATTTAGGGCCGGGGATTTATCTCAGGGATGCTGCTACCTGCCTTACAAGTGTAAGACCCTGAATTCAATCACTGGTACCAAAACAAACAAAAAAACAAACAAGTGCACAAGAAAATATGATAATGCAACTGAAAAAAATCTAAACTATACTATTTATATAAACACAGACCATTTCCATTATATTAAATGAAAAACGCAGAATAAAATTTATAGATAGTGTGTTTTATGTAAAAATTTTTATTTTAAAGCAGCAAAGAGAGCCAGGAGTGGTGCCACACACGTATAATCGCAGCACTCAGGAGGCTGAGGCAGGATTGCCACAAGTTCAAGGCCAGCCCAGACTACAGAATGAGTTCAAGGACAGCCTGAACTCTGTAGCAAAACCCTGTCTCAAAATAAAAACAAAAACAAAACAGCAAAGAGAAGAGACAAGAGAGTGTATCTCCTCTAACAAGAAACTAGCACCTTAGGGTTAGCACTTCAGAAATTCTTTATCAATTTTTCTACTTTTTCTATTTTCCAAATTTTTCAGGGTATAATTATACAGACACTGGAATACACTGGAAAGCAACTTACCTCCAGTTTGAAAGCCAGGCCTACAAATGAGTGGGAACTGTCTCTTTTGGAGTTCATTAGAATTTTGGTTTTCTCTCGCGAGTCACTTAAGAATCAAAGAAAAATAAATCTATGAGATATAGGGTTATGACAGTTGATGTTTCTTTTATGCCAATCTACTATAACTACATTATCTGAGAAAAAAACATGTGTGTTAACTAGTCCTGACCTCACACACAAGTAAAATTTCACTGAAACAGACCAATGAGAATTCCTAGGTCTTAGTTACTATGAAAGGACCAGCACAGACTGAAAAACAGAAGTGGTCTGGTAGAGCAAAAAAAAAAAAGAAAAGAAAAGAAAGCGAAACATGGTGGCGCGCATCTGTACTCTCGGCCCTCTGGGAGGCTGAGGTAAGAGAACTGCAAGTTGGATTCATGCTTGGGAAACTTAACGACCTAGTGAACCCAGTCTCAAAATGAAAAAAACAGAAACAAACAAACAAAACACGTATAAAAGAAAAAGTGCTAGAGATGCAGCTTAGTGCAAAAGTCCTATCCTCATTTGGGAAGGGAGTAGGGAGTACTGAGAACGTTTTTTAAAAGTTTGTTCCTTAATGCTTTTTAAAGGAAAAAAAAAATATGACTAATCAGCTGGTCTCAATAAGATGTTCTATTGATATAAATGTTGACAGCAAAACAAATCATCCTTATAACTCACAAATAATACAGGATACAAAAATTGGTACAGTGAATATTTTCCTATATACGAAAATTATCACTCAACTAAAAATGGTCAATTTTTATAAATTATGAAAACAATTACAAAATTGCCAGAACTACCCTTAACTGCCTTCATGGTGCATTAAGTATTATTTCTGTATGAGCCAAGATTTAATTGCCAAGACTTACTCCTCCTGATTGAGAAGAGCATAATTCTGGACTTCAGATGGATTTGGGAGGTATTCTAGAACAGCATCCAAAAGGGGCTGAACTCCTTTGTTCTTTAAGGCACTTCCCAGAAAAACAGGAGTAAATGATCTACTTAAAGTAGCTCTTCGAATTGCAAGCTACAAAAAAAAGAAAGAAAAATCAATGCTTAATTAATGTTAACATTATATTTTGTGTTTCAGGCCGAGTATAACGCAACATATGAATAAAATAAACTTATGTGTTTGGAGTGCTGGCTCTAGTGGAAACTAAAATTAGAACCCAACAATTTGAAGCCAAAATACAAAGGAAACAAAAGTCATTTTCTTTTTCTGGGCCTGGAAGTGATTTACTATACACGTGCTTTCAATACTTTTAGAACTGCTAATTTTCAATTCCGCTAAAACAGTACATTGTATACACAGAAAATAAGGCACATGTAACAGTGCAAACTGTATGCTTGTACCTGTGTGAAACCAAGAGAAAGATAATTTATATATATATTTTAAAGTTCCTGGAAATGCACACCAAGAACTGTTCAGTGGCAACCTGTTTTAGGGAGAGGGCAGAGAACTAAACAGATGGGAGAAGAAAGTAGCAAACCTTCATGTTTTGTTTTGTGGTAACCGAGACTGAACTCAGGGCCTTAACACTGAGCTACGTCACCTCCCTATTTTTCCTTTTTGTTTTGCAACAAGGTCTCACTAAGTCATTAAATTGCTGTTGAACTTGATTCTTCTACCTCAGCTTCAGAAGTGCTGGGATTACAGGGGTGTGCTACCATGCCCAACTGGGAGCTTTTAATACATACACATTTTGAAAATATTTAAACCATATGAGAGTACCAGCTACTAAAAACATTTTGGGGGCGGTACTGGAGATCAAACTCAGGGTCTTGCATTTGAGAGGCAGGTGGTGGCAACCACTGAGCTAAATCTCCAGCCCAATTTTTTTTCTTTTTAAAAGAACATACACTCAGGAAAGCAGAAAGTACAAATGACTCATAAACCAAAGAACATGACCATAGCAGCCTCTAAACCAAGGATCCTAGTCCCACACCAAACCTCCAGAGAGCTCTATTAATGTGGTCTGCAAGTTGAGCAGACCTCAGAAAGCACATGGCAGAGCTTTAGCTGTAACAGCTGGAAGGGGCCAACAACAGGGCTGGGCCATAACAGAGCACAAATATGTAGGCAGCATACAATTATTTCTCAGGTCTAGTGAAAAAACTCGTTAGCCCCAAAAAGTTTACAGCTAAATATATATACCCACAATTTCTAAGCATCATCACAATTTAAAGTAGGATAATAAGAAGCATAAAAAGGGGGAAATATGAAAGGAAAATAAGCAATTATTATTTGGTACTATCTTTTGCTAGATCTCTAACCACTCAGGCTACCACAGGCCATTTGGTCACACCGACTTTCCACCTCCAATATGCAAACAGGGATATACAGTAAACTTAGCACACTTATTTTACATCTATAAAACAAACACAAGAGGGTGGTAGATAAATGGAGAAAAGGAAAAAGTAAAGTGATCCTTAAAACAGTTTACCAAAAAGTTTCCTTTTTTTATAAGAAATAATTTCATACTAGAAAGCAACTGCCTTTACACTGGCCCAATAAAATACCCAACCACAATTCAGAAAATAAAACATTCCCATGTATTCTGTGCAGCGAAGAATAAGTACAGCAGGATTGAAACTTTCCATAGAAAGGTCTGCTCACAAGGCTGGCCATTAGCTAGGAACAGGGAACCTGGATTTCAGAAGAAGTCTCACAATTCTCAGAAATGACAAGAATGGTTCACCGTGCTTACACTGTTTGTACAATGTGATGTGTGCTAAACTACTGCTTTCCATGTGTCTGATTCATTATCGATACCTTGGGTAAAATGTCTTATATCTACCTGATCTATGCTAAGTGCACCAAGTGGTTTGGGAAAATCAACATCAGGTTTTCTTTTTTTTAATGATGGTAAAAATACATCAAAGATAAGAATTTACCATTTTAACCATTTTTAATTGTTTCATTCAGCAGCATGGAGGACATTCATAAAGTTGTACAACCATCCCACTATCCATCTTCTGAATTTTCTCATCATCCCCAAATAAACTATATCCATTAAGCAAGAACTACCTATTCAACGCTCCACTACAACCCCTAAAAACCACCATTCTACTTTCTGTCTCTATGAATCTGGCTATCGTAGGTAACTCAAATAAGTGGCATCATAAAATAGTTGTCCTTTCAAAATTTGGCTTATTTCATTCAGAATGTCTTGAAAGTTTAACCAGGTTGTAGCATATATCAGAATTTTATTCCCTTTTAGAGCTAAAAAATATCCCTTCGTATGTATATACATTTTACTCAGTCAGTCATTAATAAACATATGGGTTATTTTTTATGTTTGGTTACTGTGAAGGGTGCTACTAAACCACCTATTTGAGGCCGTTCTTTCTCTTGGGCACTCCTTCCAGTGTGTGATCCCGGACCTCCAGTTTCATTTTCTAAGGGGCTGCCACACCGTTTTCTACAGTGGCTGCACTCACCTCCCCACCAGCAGTACACAGGGGTTCTAACTTCTCCATACCCTTGTCAACAGTAGTTGTTCTGCATTTGTTTTTCCTAAGACCCTTCCTCAAATGGTTTTGATCTGCAATGCAGAGCATCCCTTCATACACTACCTATCTGTAGTTCCTATCTATATCTTGTTTTGGAGAAATGTTCATTGAAGAACTACCTGTCTTAGGGAGGAATCTTCTCTTTGTTTTTATAATGATGAGCAATCAAGTAAAAGAATCTGTAAGGCTTTCTGCTATGTTTCCAAACATTATTGCAGTGTAACTACCAACATTTAGTCTGTAATCATTCACCAATCTCATTTCTTAACCTGTCTTGTCAATGTAACTTTATTTATATTTTTAATACACCTAACAGGATGATGGCTTTTTTTTTCCTCATAACTCACTACTTAAAAAAAAAAGTAATATGGCAGGTCAAGTATTTTTCAGGGATGCTAATTATGTTACACAAACTTATTCAGATTTCATTAATAAAGCCAGTGCATAAAAGCATCATTTCCCTTTCCACACACACACACACACACACACACACACTTTTGTTAATATAAGACTTATTTTGAGAGCACCTGCCTTTAAATCAGAAATTGAAGGGATTTTTTCTTCTAGGAACAGTTCACCAAGCTGCTCGTCTGAATTGGCAACACACTCAATCAGCTCCTGCCGATGATCAGCTGCCACCGCCTTCAATTCAGCTGGGATCTCACCATAGCTAACAATCTGACTGAAAAGACAGACGTTTTATTTTAACACTCTTGGGATATTTAATTAGATATATAGAGCACCAATGAAAAACATACAATTAATAGCTAAAACAGAGCTCTGATTATTTGCATTCAAATGGCAGGGAGATACTGTGTATCTTTAAGGACAAAAATACTTAAACAGGAAAAGTAATATGCTCAAGGTTATACTACTAGTAAACAGAACCAAGATTCAAAACAGCCCTCGATAATGAGAAAATGATAGTACCCTTAATTTTGTAACAGACATATTCTATTTTTCACCATGTAAAGTTTTGCAGAGGAGAATAATAAATGTCCTAATAATATACTTTTATAATGACCAAAACAATGGGTTGGGAAAATATCAACTAAACTAAAAATTAAAATTCTTTTAGTATAGCTATAGGTTTTTACAGTATTCAAATAAGAAAACATACAAAGTTTAGAAAATCATCTAAGACACTTATTTCACAGAGAGCACTAAATTAGCTAATCATCACCTCAGATGAAGTAGCTTCTATTATTTATATTTTCAAATGACGAAAGAAACTTAAACAAGCAAAGGAACTTAACCAAAGTTAAACTACTAGTAAATAGAATAAGATTCAAAGCCAACCTGGCTAAAGTCCATCTGAACTCTTTAAAATTCATGTCAGAGTGCTTTCCAAATACATATACAGTGCTCTGCGGCTGGTGGAATGTATATCTAGAAGTCCCACCTGTGTTCTCATGTTTAAAAGCTTCAACTTTAGAAACATGTGCCCTGATAATTCTTGGACAGAGAATTCATTCATTCATTTAAAAATTTTTTTTGAGTTCTTATCATGCATCAAGAAGTTCAAAGGGCTGAGGACATGGCAGTGGAAAAAGGAGAAAAATAAAACCACAATGATGGTCTTACATTCTAAGGAGTGAAAAATAGATGCTGTCAGGACTCAGTCAGACAAATAGCAAGAGAAACACTTTATCTCCTGGACAGCCTCCATCATTTTTCTGTCTACAAGCTGGAGGATCAGACAAATTTTACAGTTCACTGATCACAATGCCAGGTACCCACCCGTCAGATCTACAATCCCAATTCCACAGCAGAGAAAAGAAACCCCTCAGCAAGTACCTCTCAGACACTTTTTAAAAATCACCTTTAGAGAATATTCTTCCAGGCACATTTCAAACAGATACTACCTATGCTTAAAGAAATTATCCTTTCTTTATTATTTTTTTAAAATATAAAACTTATTTTTTTGTAATTAGTTTTATTGGTACATTTTAGATATACATAATGATCATATTCATCATAGTGATTTTGTACCTGCAAATGATGTATCTTGATTCTTTTTTCCCCAATCCCCCCCCTCCCGTTGATTCCCCCCTTCCTCTCATTTAAAAAATTTTAATAGTGTATTTTGAGCACTTACCCAAAGTCTCCATCAAAATAGATGGCTCGTTCCTCAAGAAGATCTATAATACCTTTAAAATTACCCTCCAAACCAATGGGTATTTGCATAAATGCTGCATTATGATTTAGTTTAGACCTGAAAAATAAAAGTACACTAGTTTATCTCTTTTCTTCTCTCAAATTCCTTTTGAAAGGACAAACATAAAAACAGATCAATAGCAGAGATTGTAGACATGCACTAGCAGGTCAAAATGAAAATACAAAGCTGCTGAGAACAAACTGACAACCAAATGCAAAGAGGACAGGAAGACAGAACCCCACTTGGTCAATAAAAAACACTAGAAGGGCTGGGGATTTAGCTCAGTGGTTCTGCTGTCTGCATTGCAAGCGCAAGGTCCCAAGTCTGACAGGTACCAAAACAAACAAAGAAAAAACACTCTCAAATATATTTTCTCATCAGATCCCTTGACCATGCCATCAAAAGCTGAAGGAAGAACAACTAGTTGAGTGGCTGGCCAAGAAATTAAAGGACAATAAAATACCTGGGCCCACAGATCAACTGAGAGCGCAAAACTAAGCAGAACTATGCGAAGAGAGAGAGCTTTTATATGAAACCTCTTGGAATGGGTTGCAGAGTCAGACACTCATCATCAGCCTCAACAAGATGCAACCACTGAACACAAACTGCTTACCAGCAGAGATTCTCTCTCACTACAGAAGAAATATGCTCCAGCTACCAAAACTTTAGATCACCATTCATAACTCGGACAGAGACCTAAGATTCACTAAATATGTGAAGGTAACCAATAGCTTGCAGGAGAAACGTGAGTTCAAGAAATAGTACTAACTTCCAGGAAGAGAATCACTGGAGGAAAAGAAGTAAAAATCAAAAATTTGAGAATTACCTCTGTTTAAAAAGTGTTGCAATAAAAGAGTTTATAGAAATTAATTACATAACTTCAAGTTGGTTTTTTTTTAAACAGACAAGCTAAATAACAGGAAAGACAAACTAATAACAAATTTATGTGCAAGAATATTAACCTCAAGAATTCTCTCATGGCCCCGTGCAAAATGAAGCAACAGATACCTGAAAAAGAATACAGAAAAAGGTACAGAAAAGTAGGCCAGATTCAGAAGTTCTAAAATCAGTTTGATGAGTTACGAAATGAGAAAACAGATAAATATGAATCAAATAATGTTCAAAATAATCAAAAAATGTTGAAAGAGAATGTTGGAATTCAGGAAGCCAGTGGAAAGAGTTCATCTACTGACAAAGAGAAGTAAAATAAAAGCAAAAAGCGAGATTTCAATTTTACCAAGAAATATTACAAATATCAAAAAACGAAAAACAGCATTTTCACTTTCTCAAACACATCACTTCCCTAAGTTTTGGTTTTCTTGTCATTAGATACATCACTTTTACCCTACCCACTCCCACAGACATTACTACCTACATCCAGCAGCTCTGCCCTATGGATCTTGAGCAGTAACTCTATGGATATCCTTGCTTCTCTGCAAACAGTGAACTGTGAACCAACAGCTCACTCTAAGTTTTTGTCCCCCTTTGGTACCGGGGATCAAACTTGGATCCTTGCATTTGCGAGGCAGGGGGCAGAACCACTGAGCTACATCCCCAGCCCTCTAATCTTTAAAGGGTAAGTGAAATGCACTGTGCAAATGTAAAATGCTGGAAGTATCACTGGGTTAGATCTGGTACAAAGAAAGAGGTATTGCTGTTCTAGCAAATACATTATCTTCTCAAAGTGAGGCATACTACTTACGAGCATTAATTAATATCCCTCAAAGATTAAAAGGAAAAAGATCCTCCAGGTTTGTCTAAATAAAATGCCAAATGTTTCTAGAATCTACTCTAGATTACAACATCTCTAATATACCAGTGAAAACTGTTAACAGTTTTCTGAAGTCATCTTCAAACTCCCTAAAATTTAAATTAGATTCTCCTCATTTTACAAACAGTAACTGGTAAAACTGTACCATAAACCAAACTACTGAACTCAGTGGCTCCATTTATTAAGTTACATAAATAAGCTTTTCAATGTGGAGAAATTTAAGGATAAAGTTTAATAATATTGAATTAATCATCCCTCGGGATATAAAGTTTGCCTCTGTTCTTTCTGACACTCAATACCTCATTTGCTGCAGGGCCCTTGCTGGGTTGGAGCCCAATCGGTCCAATTTGTTAATGAAAGTTAAAAACGGAACATTGTAGCGCTTCATCTGACGATTAACAGTCATGGTCTGACACTGTACCCCTCCAACCGCACAGAGAACAAGGACTGCACCATCCAACACTCTTAGGGCTCTTTCAACTTCTATTGTGAAGTCCACATGGCCTGAAAGAGACAAAGTAGCACGTGAGGATTTTGAAAAGCAGTTTGAATTTTTAATACACACACTATTAAGTTTTTGTGGCTCTGCTAATTATATATGTCTTCTAATTAGAATGTGGATTCCTCAGCCCATGAGTATCATTCACCCACCATCAAGTCCAGGGTCCAAAAAGATGAGTTCTAAAAAGTATCAGGCGGCCAGGGATTTAGCTCAGTGGTTCCACTGCCTGCCTCACAAGCGCAAGGACCCAAGTTCGATCCCCAGTACCAAAAAAACAAAAAATAAAGATAAAAAGTACGAGCATAGAGAATTGCATAGGCAATTCTAAAGTCAAATGGAATATCTAAAAAGAAAGAACCTTCCCACTTAACTTGTTTTCATTATTTTTGAAGGAAACCACACAAAGACAAAATGCTCTAGATCCCATATGCATCTTCTCTAATAGGAATGCAGTATTACCTCTTCACCTGATACTCAAAAATTGGGTCACAGTAGAACAAAGAACTAAACCTGCTTTTGCCAAAATAAGTTACAAGAGGGCTGGGGATTTAGCTCAGTGGCACTGTGCCCACCTTGCAATCACAAGGTCCTGAGCTTAATTTCACATACAAAAAAAAAAGATGATCCAAAATAAGTTCCAACAAATCCAAGAGTCTAACGCACCAGGAGTATCTATAATGTTGATATTAACATCTTTCCACATGGTATAGGTGGCTGCTGACTGAATAGTGATTCCTCGCTGTCTCTCTAGTTCCATGGAATCCATGACGGCACCAACTCCATCTTTACCTTTCACCTAAACACAAACATAGCAATTCAGATTTCTCTGTCCTTGTATCTCAAGAAAAATATTCACTGAAATGGAATTAAAACACAGACTTACACATGTCCAGATAAAAATAATTATCAAACTATACCACCTCATAAAAACAGATACAGGAACACAGGTTTTGCCCCGTCTTAATTACCACTGCTTGCTCACTGCCGCCCTCCGGAGATGTTAGGTCGATGCAGTCGCTCTGGTCTTGGAGCCAGCCGCGCATCCTCACCCCTACTCTTACCCACCAAACTCGTTAGTCCCTGAGAACACACCTTTTCCAGCTCTGCTCCATGTGCACTGTGAGGCATGAGTGGGAAGGAGGCCTTTAAATCACATGATTTAACAATGTGTTCTTCAACCAGAGAAATATTTTGAAGTGAAGAGTTGTTAGTAATACAGTGATATCCTCAGAAGTTTCAAGGTTTTTAAAAATATTTTTTCTGACATGCATTTTAACTGAGTTCATATATATCATTTAAACCCATTTTTTCATTAACATGACAAACACTGATCCATCCTTAATAGCATATGAAGACTATTTTAATAATTGTTTAATGTGTGCCATAACTGGCTGGGGATTTAGCTCAGTGGTTCTGCCTTCTAAGCACAAGGTTCCAAGTTCAACCCCCAGTACAAAAAAAAAGTATGCCATACTGACTTAACATTTCCAAAGGACAATCTGTTCAGGATAGTTATAGTGGTGGCCTCCACGTGGACTACTCAGACTATTCCAAGCCAATGTCAGCTACCCACCCTGTGCATGTGACTTCGGTTAAAGAACTACTGCTACCATTGTTCTAATCTTTCAGGTTTTGTGAAATGTATTCAACCCTAACTATGAAACAATCAAAATCAAGCTTTAATTAATCTGGAGTTGGCCACTGATGATGGAATCACCTCATGCATCTGTGCGATTCTGCCAGTGTAGTAAAGCACCCGTTCTGTTAATGTAGTTTTCCCAGAATCAATGTGAGCTGAGATTCCAATATTTCGGATTTTTTCATTAGGAATTATCCCTGATGAACACCATCGGCAGAAATTCCCATTAATCTAAAAACAAAATAAGAGCTCAATTCAATGCACTTTTTATGAGACAGCAGGCAATTAAAATGTGAATGGTGGCCATCTTTCCTCCAAAGAATCTTAACGGACGTGAGAAAGGCTGGAAAAGCAGAAGGTGAAATGTTTTAAACTTGCAACTCCTATAACAACAGCAGAGACTACAAAAGAAAACAAGATATATTCTTTAAAATTAATTAATTAAAATAAAATGGGACCAACACCATTCCAACTTATGATTTGAAATTACACACTGAGGCTGACAAAAATGGGAAAGAGCCTAAAAACTGGTTTAATAGGAAGCATAAACCTTACCTCAAACTTTACGTTTTTACCTCAGTGCCTTACTGACTCTGGCAAGGGTCTTTGTGGACTTATCTGCCATATGCAGTGCTGACAGCAGCTCCAAGACAGCACCCACCCCCAGAAGGTTTCAAATTTCTTTCTCATAAAAACAATGAAGTGTTTTTTCAAAACTTTACTAAATGAGAGAAGCTGTATTTTATATAGACATAATATATACCTCTCCCTGCAGAAGTGCACGCCCAAACCGCACTGCTGCCATTTCTGAGAAGAGGCGAAAGAACTTGGAAAAGGTGACTATTAGATGAAACGTCTGCTTCAAAAATACAGCTGATTGGCAACATGACCGAAGAAAAGTACTGTGATTTAAGCACTAAATAACCAGGATAGGCTGAGAAAGGGCAGTCACTGACATAACAAATCAGAAGCCCCAGGTTCGGCCCTGGAGACTCACTTTTCTGCTTGACCCTCACTCAAATAACTTCTCTTGCGATATACAATATAAAAAAAAGTACAAATGAAGGGCCCGCCCAACCTCCCCGGGCACTGAGAAGCTGCTCCTGGATGACGGGCGGACGTGCAGGTAGGCAGGAACTCTCCAGCACCGAGGCAGGACGGCTCGTGGTTACAGCTGTCGGCAGGAGGTCCCGGGCAGGACCCTCGCTCGGCCTCGCAGGGCCCCATACCTGCTTCCTCTGCCAGCCCAGGGATGCAGGGATCCGAAAGAGCGGCCGGTGACCCAGAGCCACGGCCGCGGCGGACCCCAGCATTCTCATAGCCAGAGCAAAAACGCGGAATCCCGCCGCTCAGAGCGAACACTGCACCAGTTCTCAGCGCCGAGTGCTCAAAGTCACGCCGGCTACAAGGGCCGGGAGAGCACTTCCGGGGCGAAGGACGCGGAGGCGGAGAGAAGCGGCCAAAGGAAGTGGAATCTCCGGACCCAAGCGCAGCGGCGCCTCCGCCGCACGCGCGCCCTCTACTGCTGTGGAGGACAAAGTGCAGCCGCCTTGCTGAGCTCTTCTGCCACCCCGGAAGTCGTTACCTTTGTAAGGGGGAGGTGTTCCTTCATGGTTTTAAAATGTTCCCTGTGTATAACAATGTAGACTCTAAACATGCTTGTTTTGCCTGATACAAGAACTGTTTTGAACAGAATTGAAGTAAAAAAATAATCAAATTACAGTACAGTATTACAAATATTAAAAATAATTGTCCGTAGGACGTTCTTGGAAGATAACGTGAAAAAAGTAGATAAACTATGAATCACAATTTTTCTCATTTCTTGCTTTTGCTCAGGGTCAGACTAGCTTTACATACACCCAGTCCCTGTGGGAGACCACATCCTTGATGCTTCCACTTGGATGTCTTAGAAGCATTTTAATTTAACATGTGCAAAATTGGGCTTATATTTTCCCCAAAGCCTTAGTCCAGCAGTCTTTTCATCCCAACGTGGACACTCCGTTCTTCGAGTTATTCTAGCCAAAGATGTCGACACCCTACAGATGCCACATGCAAAAATATATCAGCATGGCCCTTTCTCCACGGAATTATCGTACCGGCTTCTTAACCGCTGTCTCTGCTTCTACTCGTTCTGCCTTTTGGTCTATTTTCAACGTTGTAACTATAATGATCCTATTAAATCGTACCAAGTTGTCTCTCTGCTGAAAGTACTCCATCCAGTGAATTAATTACTGTTATCTCTGCGTTAGTGTAAATTCAGTGTTTTTTATAACTAAAGACTCTGAAATGGGTTTCCCTCCAACCCACGAAAGAGCCCAGGAGGCCATGCTTGAGCAGTTTTTCACTTCCTCCTCCTTTTGCCCCACACTGGCCTCCTTGCTGATCCTCACCTTACGAAGTATGGTTCTTTACTCTCTTCTCACTTTTCAAATGGCATCGACTGATGCGTTCTCTACCCAACCCTGCTAAATCAAGCCCCTTTATTGTCATTCTTGTTCATCTCAAATATATTCAAACATTTTACAAATCTGTTTATTGTCTGATTCTCCCAAAGAGGATCTGAAAAACTAAAATTTTAGTTACACATTTGGTCCTTAAAACTACTAGTACTAGTATAATAATTTTATACGATCAAAATCCCTTTAAAAACATCTGGATTATAATTTTATCTAAACATTTTACATTTTGTGTTCTTACACAATTTGTGTAGTGATTAATTACTTGATTTCTGACATCAATTGGAAAATTTAGAATGTCTCCATCGTGAAATGTTCAGTCTTAGTTTTATGCCAACTAGAATATTTTATTAGCACTAATTTTGTATAATAAAACCTGAAAGGAGACATATAGTTGCTTTTAAATATTAATTCACTACAGTTTTCTCAAATTCATCTGCTTATCAGAAATATTTGTGATTAAGGATATAGCTCAGAAATAAAACACTTGGCTAAAATGAAAGCTTGGGTCAATCTGCAGAGAGAAAGAAGGCACTTTTTTTTTTCTTTTTGCAATGCCAGCGATTGAAACCAGGTCTTGTTCATGATAGGCAATGCTCTATCACTGAGCTATACCTCCAGCCCCTGCTTTTTAAAAATATGACTTATAAACCATATATTCATAATCATTACATATTTCAAAGCTTTTAAATTAAATTCATTTATCTACATTCTTTCAACAAAAGCAGCACAGATACGAATTGTTGAGGCAAAGAAATTACCCAGAGTTCAATCAAAAAAGAGAAAGAAGCTGGGCATGATGGTGCATGCCTGTAATCCCAGCGCTCGGGAGGCTGAGGCAGGAGGATCACTGTGAGTTCGAGACCAGCCTGGGCTACACCAAGAGTTCCAGGTCAGTCTCACTAAGTAGTGAGACCCTATCTCAATCCCCTCCCCCCCAAAAAAACAACAAAGAAAGAGAAAGAGGTGGAAAATATGAAAAGATGAATAGATACAGGGGATGCTATTTCTCTACCCACATCAAATTCAATGTTTATTCTCTCTTCAATTTAGTTTTGATATTTAATCCATCCACTGTGATACTTTGACTTTTTCAGATATTTTTGTCTATTTGGACTAGATATTTCTGTTTTACAGATATAAAGGCTAAACTTTTAATGCCAGTTTATTTTCCACTTCTAAAAGTTCTATTTGGTTCTTTTCAACTTCACTTAGTCTTTATGGTCTCTTGTTTCCTGCTCAAATTTTAATGTTTTTTTATTTCCTTTAAAATATTGATCAAATTTTCTGTGCCAGATAATTCTTATATAGCATTATTTCTATATCCATTCTTTGTAGATACTTGTTATTTGCCTGTTTTATGACTTTCCTTTGAGCAGATTTTCCTGCAGACTTTCTATGATGAAAACCACCCCGTTCCATAGAAGTGAGCCATATTCCAATGGCTAAGTCTTACTGTCACTAAAGTAAAATTCTCTGCAACTGCAAAGAAACTAGGACTCTGATGTCACTCAAAGGGGACAATGACCACAAAAGAAGGATCGTGATTTTGCTCCTAAGCAGAAATATTCTCGTTCCATGTCGAAATGGGAGATGCTATCTATATGACTGCAATTCAAGAGGTGGAGCTCCAGAAGCACCAGAAAGCTTGGAATTTTTTATACCAGCATTACCACAGTAACAGGTAATAACTTCCAGTTGTGTAAGGGTGCACTTTTGGTGGATAGAGTTTTTAAGACAGAAAATGTAAACAAGACCAAAGTTTTTCACTATCATATCACAGATAGGGTCCAGAGAATGGTCAGGAACTCTTTATAACCTAAAGAATAAAGGCTAGTTTTATTTGACATTAAGGTATTAAAATATAAGGTGTGATTAAAAACTAGAACATTTAATGGACAAGGATTTAGCACAGTGTTTCCGCCACCTGCCTCGCAAGCACAAGGTCCCAAGTTCCATCCCTGTACCAAAAATGAAAACAAAACAAACTAGAAGACTGAAATTTAAAATTTTTATTATAGTAAAAGACACACATTCCCATTCATTGCCCTCAAAACACTCCCCTTGCTTTGAACAGACCTATTATTCGTGCCACTTTCCGAAATAGTTCTGCAAATTCTCTTTCGTATCTTTACAAGGTGTGGCAAAAAATACAGCGAATGCTGATGCTGGATACCATCCCACAGAAAGGCAGGCTGATAAAAACATCACAATGTGTCCTCACCTGCCTTGTTCATTGGATCTGGCCCAGAGTGACTTCTGGCTCTTCCCCAAAATCAAAGTGACCACGAAAAGTAAACATTTTGAATCAGTTCAGGACACTGAGGCAGCTAGGACAATGTCACTAAAAACTCAGGAAAGAGGATTTGTGGGAAGCAATTCTAGATGATTTGGGGAAAGAATCATAACATAATTAAATCATGATTAGGCCTCGTCTTCCCGTCCACAGGCCAGTTACGTATGGCACATGGACACAGAACTCCGTCTTTGCCTCTGGTCACAGCTAAGCCCACAGTGGTCCCATGATGCCCCACGGCAGGACTGTACCGGCTGGAGACAACCTGGGAGGAACCACATCTTCATCTGCATGGCTCCTCATGGTTCTAGGATCATCACCGGCCACTTTTGTTTTGCTGATGTTCTGGGTAAAGGTGTGGCAAGCTCTGGTTCTAGGGTCCTTGCCACCCAGAGCAGCATGGGTCAGGCTAAAACTCACTTGTTTAGGTCTCATTTCCTATGCATTATTAATTAATCCACGTTGTGCTGTCCCGGCCCGCAGGAGACTCGGACCTGAGGCAGAGGTTCTAGCACCACCCCCTTTTCCCTGATCCCAAGTGTTTAGGGAACGGCTTCAATGAGGTGGTGAGAACGGTGGGCGGAGTGCGTTTCAACTGAAGGGGTTCATGGCAGTGTATCACTTACTGCAGGAAACTGGGGTGTGGGGTATCGAACTCAGGGCTTCGTGCGGAGACAGACGGTGGCACCGCTGAGCTAAATCCCTGGCCCTACTGTAAAAGTTCAACTCACTGCTGCTTCCAAAAACCACACCCCAAAGACATTAAAAGTTGACACTATGGAACAGATATCATAAGCAAATATTAGCCGAAAGAAGCCTGATATATCCATATTATAATAAAATATTTAAGGCAAAAATGATTACTAAAGAGAGACTACTGAATAATAGAAATTTTAATTACCAGGAAGAGGTTTTAATTTAAGGTTATACATAAATAATAAACGGAATGGCAGCGAGTTCTTTTTTTGCATTCTGTGTATCTCAGACTGGACGTCTAAATGCTGCAGGTATAGAAGAAATAAGGAAATGAGGAAAGGAAGGAAGGAAGGAAGATGAGAGAGGAGGAGGAGGAGGGAGATGGAAGGGTGGGGAGGGAGGAGGACGGCAAACAAAGACGTCACACCTCACGGGAGGAGTGGCGGAGCTGCGCCCGGCCGGCAGGAACCAGGCAGTGCCCTTCTCTGCCAGGCAGGGGCTCTCGGCCTTCTCTGGTCTGCGACGGTGTCTCAGTGTTTTCTGCATTTCATGATCTTGACAGTCTTGAGGCAAACTGGCAAAAGTTTTGGTAGAATGTCCCGCTTACATTTTATAATTTTCAACTTCTCAAAGAATAATATAAGAGCTTTTATAAAAGAGACGGTATTTTATATTTACATTCTCGTTTGTGCTTCTGTCCAGTGATAAAGGAGATATAACTGCGAAGGTTCAAGGCTAAATCAAAATTAAAACAATTCTGTATCTATCACCTACGGAGCCAGAGCGTCTTTCTTTTCATTGCACTATAACAGAGGAACAACTGAACACGGGTAAAGGAAGGGCTGGGGATGGAGCTCAGGACGGTATTTTATATTTACATTCTCGTTTGTGCTTCTGTCCAGTGATAAAGGAGATATAACTGCGAAGGTTCAAGGCTAAATCAAAATTAAAACAATTCTGTATCTATCACCTACGGAGCCAGAGCGTCTTTCTTTTCATTGCACTATAACAGAGGAACAACTGAACACGGGTAAAGGAAGGGCTGGGGATGGAGCTCAGGGGTACGGCCACCTGCCTCACAAGCGCAAGGTCCCAGAGGGTAATCACCTCTTTGAAATGCAAGGATTTCCATTAATGCAGCTGAAGGGAAAGTTATCATTTATCACAAATTAAAGAAAATGGCTACTGTTAACACTTGTTTCAGGATAAAATTGAAGCAATTTTAGGGAAAAGCTGGAGGCAACACCCACGTCCATTTCCAGCAATTTAAGCTGGCATTCAGTGCACACAATTTTAGTACATTCTAAATAGAAGATAATTTAAATAAAATTGTACTGTAGTGTTATGGCTATTATGGGACATATTTAATAAATGATGCACACTAAACAAAATAAGTGAATACTAAAACAGAAAGGAAGATCAGTTTATATTTGTTTCAAATGATAATGGTTAAATGGCCGGGTGTGGTGGCACATGCCTGTAATCACAGCACTAGGGAGGCTGAGGCAGGAGGATCGATGTGAGTTCAAAACCAGCCTGGGCTACATAGTGAGTTCCAGGTCACTCTCAAGTACATAAGTGAGACCCTGTCTCAAAAAAAAACAAAACAAAACAAAAAAAAAAACAAAAAACATGTTAATGGTTAAAACATGATTTCTATAAAAATAATTATTTTCCTGCAGCATAATGTATTATTAGCAAGCCTTAAGTCTTATTTGAAAATGTGTAAATGTGTCACACTATTAGAATTTATCTTTATTTCTCTTTATGAAAAACTTGCATAGTTTTGCCATTTTTAGGCCCTAAGTAAAACTACTGAAAAAATTATATACATATAAGGCCACATGCAGGACACTTACTGATTGTGGCGGTCCAGCCGTCACAACACGAACATGCCTGAGTTGGGGAGTGAGGATTGAGAAAGGAAAGAACCCTCAAGCCCGAGTGGAGACCAAGAGAAGTCTGATTTATTTTACAGAAACAGCTCCTTTTAAAGGCACATCAACAGGAAGCACCAAGCAATTATCTTTATCTTATGCAAAGATCAGATTTCCTGACTCCTACAGATAACATCAGATCTTTGGCTATCTCTTCTCCCCATCACAGCGATCAATCAAAGAACAAACAAATTTAACAAGCAGAGTCCTTGAAAAGGAAATGTTACACTGTATCAATGCCTTAATTGTAGAAGAAGTTATTTTTCAAATGTCAAACGCCAGTGGGCCATAACTGGCCCCCACAACTGCTTTTTATTTTTGTTGTTTTTTGTTGGACAGGGTCTCCTTACGCAGTCCAGGCTGGCCTTGAAATCCTGGCAATCCTCCTGCCCCAGCCTCCCAAATTCTGGGATTACAGATGTGTGCCACCAGGCCAGGCTACTGTCTGATATTTAATCTGTATGTCACACATTTTGTAAACGCCCACTAAGAAAACATCATGGCATAAGAAGAAACATATACACACACACATATATATATATGGAAATGTTATGTGATACTAAACACATAATTTACCAAAGTATGACTTTGGATTTGAATCTAATGATTCAAGTTATCAGTGTAAAAAAAATTTTTTTTTTTTTTTGGTACCAGGGATCAAACTCGGGACCATGTACTTGAGAGGCAGGTGATGGAACCTCTGAGCTAAATCCCTGGCCCATCAGTGTTAATTATTTAGACAAAAGGAGAATACAGTATCTATTGATATTTTGCTCTATCACATAAATTTATGCAAAAGTGTTATTTAAAATTTACATTTAGCTCAGTGGTTCTGCCGCCTGCCGGCAGTGTGTGGCGGCTCACGCCTATAATCCTAGTATTCCGGAGGCTGAGGCAGAAGGAACACTGAGAGTTCGAGACCAGCCTGGGCTACACAGTGAGTTTCAGGGCAGGCTGAACTAATAGTGAGACCCTGTCTCAAACAACAACAACAATGACAACAAAAAACAAAAACAAAAACCTTGCACCTATGGGCCGGGGATTTAGCTCAGTGGCACCTCGCCTGCCTCACAAACACAAGGTCCCGAGTTCCATCCCCAGTACCCAAAACAAAACAAACAAAAAAACCCCAAAACAAAAAAAAAACTTACACCTTATGACAATTTTCCAGTATATTACATTACTAACATGCAACTTTATAGATAAAATGACTATTTTTACTAATATACATCAATTAATTTCACTTACAAAATGAATTAACCCATTTGCATCTTATTTCAGTGACTAAAGGCACAGAAAAGGAAAATTATCTGTTATAGAATATAGAAAATTAGAGGACTTATGAGCACAATCACATAATTTTACTTCTAACTTACTCAGAATGACATATTGGATTTTTTTCTCTTAAGCAATAGATGTAAGAGTTCTGATATTTTTATTCTTATAAATTTCTTCCCTAGCCTTTATAGAAATAAATTAATGTGTGAATTTATGAGTATGAAAGCTAGGTTGAATTTTTTAAATGGTGCAATTAAAAGAGCAACAATTGAATTATTAAACACTTTGTTAAAAAACACACATAACCCGCCTAACATATTTTAAGATCATCGATCATCATTCCAGTCTTCACACTAACAAATACATTTTTCTAAATGTCAAAAAAGGGTAAAGCAGAGCTCCTTCAAGGATTCTCCAACCTTATAAGGTTAATCTCAGAGCAGACTACACCTGTTTGTGGCAAAGAGCAGAAATATGTTACTTTAAGAAGTTAAAGAGAAAAGTGAATATAAACTCTTTTGAATGTTAAGAATGTAATATAACAGCCAGGAATCTAGCTCAGTGGTTCCACCGCCTGCCTTGCAAGCACAAGGATCCAAGTTCCATTCCTCGTACCAAAAAAAAAAAAAAGAAAAGAAAAAAAGAAAAAGTAATATCAAACAAAAAATAGTACATAAAGAATTATATAACAAGAAAATTTGTGTATATTAGCAATTTAAACTTTTTCTTTAAAAATAGACTGATTATTGGCTTTATCAAAATAACTTCTAATTTCTGATATAACAATACAGTTAGTTTTGATATATTATTTTTAAGACTTCAAGCTAGTTGGCTATAGAACAGTATAAAATCTTATAGAAACCATTTAAACCTCTATTAACATCACGTTAGAATAATCTTTTATTTGTTTGTTTGGTTTGCTTCTTCTGGGGCTTTTTTGTTTGTTTTTGTAGTGGTTTGCTTTTTCTGAAATAAGGCCTCTGCATGTAGCCCAAGCTGACTTTGAAATTGTGTTCCTTCTGCACAATTTCTGGAGGGTGAGGGTGGTGAGTGTGTGCCGCACACACAGCTCGTATCATTTAACACAGGTTGTTGAAAACTGGATCATTTTTAAGATTTTATGATTTTACTTTCTCATAACTACAGATGATAGAACCAGCTCTATAATCAATCTTCATAAATGTACAAGAATTGTTAAATTGAGCCAACACAAAAGTAATCTGGAAAGCAAAATCAGGATATGACTTTCATTGAAAATCAAAGTTTTATTCCTAAAGTAGGAAGACTACAAAGCTAGAACTTCCAACAACATTCAGATAACAGAAGAAAGTTGCAAAGTACAGTACTGATTTAACAACAAGAGATTGGTCTTATGTATATAACACCCAGCACCATTACTTTCTCTGTTAAAACAACCCAAACTTAACAAATCAAAAGCATGGCTATTTATTTTTTGTTGATTTTCACATGTGATCCTTTGACGTTGAGTTTGTCCACACAAATGTCGGATCTTCTTTTATTTTCAATGGCTGGACTCTGGAGATGTTTCTCCCTGAGAGATACATATAAGATCATTAATATCTTTTGTGTTTATGCTGGGGAGTTTACTGGGGATTGAACCCATGGCCTTTCCACTGAGCCCTTTAAAAAATTACAGGGATTTGGCTCAGTGGCAGTGTACTTGCTTTATAAGTGAAAGTTCTTGAGTTCAATCCCCAGTACTGGAAAAAAATTATTCTTTTATTTTGAAACATGTCCTTTCTAAATCGCTAAGTTGCCTAAGCTAGGCTTGAACTTGTGATCTTCCTGCTTCTGCCTAAAAGTGTGCTGAGTTTATAGGGAAGCATCACTGCACCAGCATTGCTGTTACTTTTTAAATGGTGATTGGTTTAGAAGTCACTACAAACCAAACATGCTAACAACTACAACTTAAGAGGAGTTTTATCTTAAAAGTAAGTGGGCCGGGAATTTACCTCAGCGGTTCTGCTGCCTGCCTTGCAAGCACAAGGAGTTCAATACCCGGTATAAAAAAAAACAAAAACAACAAAATTACAAACGATAATCCCTGGTACAAAAAAAAAAAAGAACCTTAATATCTTTGGAAAATATGATGCAGACTATTTCACTGAACATTCAAGAATGCAACAGCTGTTTTATAGGTTTACAGTTGAAAACTTGCTGTGCAATGTGATAGCCACTGGCTACATTTATATTAAATTAATTATGAAAGAAACAGGGATTATGCTGAGCTAGAGGCAGCAGTGCTCATCAGACGCTCAGAAGACTCTCACCAAGGTCCACAGAAGCCCATCAGATGAAATCCAGTAGCAGGGCTGTTTAGAGTAAGAAGCAAGGCTGCTTATCCATCACCACACTTCTTACAGCCCACATGAAAGGAACAAACTGTCATGGAAAGTTTCAGTCCCCCTCCCCTCACCAAGAAGGCAGGTGTAGCAGTGTCTGTCAGCCCAGCAGCCAGTGCCCAGAGCAAGCCTGTCCCAACTCTCCTCCCCCTGGGAGGTGGCCTCCTCAAACCGAGGCACCAAGGAAAGTGAAAGTCAGAGAAGCACTAAGGGCAGTGACTGAGTTAGGACCAGGGAGCCCAACAGAGGCCAAGGGACAGAGAGGACAAAAGGCAACGCTCTGGTTGGGGATCTGGAACCCTGGAGGGGTCTGTGAGACAGAACCACAAGGACTTGCACTGTCCATGACCTGTCCGTGACCGTGAGACCAGGGGGAGAAGAGAGTGTAACAGCGGGGGGGCAGGCCCTCTCCCACTGCCCCCCAAATGCCACCAAGCTCTGAGCCTGGGTGAGCTCTCTCCTGCCACCCCAAATTCCATGCAGAAAGACACACTCAGCCCTGTACAACTCTGAATCCGTAGGCCCAAGACTCTGAGGCTACAAAAACAACAAGAAATTAGGAAAGGTTGGTTCAAGAGCTCCTAGATGAGTAAAACAACTAACCTAAGAATCATAGGAATAAAGGCAAAGCTAAGCAATGAAACTAAAGGTATAAAAGTTATTGGCCAAAATCCTTGCAGAAAACTTTCCAAATCTAGAAACTGAAATGGATAACCAGGATAAGTGTTTGAAACTCCAAAGAGGCATGATCCGAAAAGAAGCCTTCCACAAGAAAAACATTACAGTCAAAATCCCAGAAATCCAGAACAAAGAATACTAAAATCCATTCCCAAAAAGTGTCAATTAACTTACAAAGGCAAGCCTGCCAGATTTCTCAACACAACCTTAAAGGCTAGGACAGCAGTTTTTCAAGTCTTTAAGAGAAAGACTGCTGGGCTTGAGATTTAGCTCCGTGGTTTCACTGGCTGCCTTGCAAACGCCAGGACCTGAGTTCGATCCCCAGTACAAAAAAATATATAAATAATTAAAATAAAAATAAAGTCTGCCAATTTAGATTAGTATAGCCTCTAAAGTTATCCTAAAAGATTGATGGAGAAATAAAAACTCTCCATAACAAAAAGAACATAAAGAAATGCAGCCCATGGACAGAACACACCACTAAGGTGAAAGCCACATTTGCTCCCACGCCAGTTCCCCACCTGTGGATTCCACACCTTGGCTGTGGCCACCCAGCAACTCCAAGCCTGCTGTGTGTTTTGTTTCTTCTTGGCACAGGGCAGTAGAGGCACCAACCAATGGACTTGGTCTGATGAAGGATGAGGCCAGGGTCCAGGGAGATAAAGAGAGCTGGAGAGTCAGGTCCAGGAAGAAATAAGACAGGCCAGCAACATCAGCCTCAAGAAAAGCCCATGGGGGCTGGGATTTAGCTCAGGGGTTCCACCGCCTGCCTTGCAAGCACAAGGACCCGAGTTCGATCCCCCATACCAAAAAAGAAAAAAAAAAAAAAAGTAAAGCCCATGGCTATCATAAACTACAAAAATGGCATGGGGTCTTACTCCAAAAGTGGCTCCTTCATGGAAGTGTAGAGTTGGAGAAGACAATGCAGTGTCTGTCATACTGCAGAGGGTTTAATCAGGAGCCATTCTGGGAACAGGTTAATTGTTTAACAGTGAATCACAGAACTTCATGGTCTCCACCATTACTTTACCATGGTGACTGGGTAAGAGACAGCAACAGAGAGAGTAATGGCTAGAAACAGACCCCTGAGGAGGTCAAGCTCAGGCTGGAAAGGGTATGGTCCCCCACCCTCTGTGATGAGAAGCCAGGCCCTGTGAATGTGACCTTCAGAGGTGGCTGGATCTAAAGGACGGGTGTAAAGTCTAGAAGCCTGCTTGAACCTCTCCCCTGCTACTTACATTCAGCAGAAACAAGGGATCTGATTGATACACTAGTATGTTCAAGGACACACCTCTGCTTGGACGGTTGCCTCAGTGTGGGGTGTGTGGACAGAGAGGGGCTTCTGGAGCAGGGGGCACACCTCACAACCCCACAGGCCATAAAGCTAGGTGGGAAAAATGTGACCTGCTGAAGTCCCAAACCGCACATCCTGGAAGGAAACCAGTACTTCAAAAATACGGAGAAGGGTCGGGGATGTAGCTCAGTGGTTCCTCCGCCTGCCTCACAAGTGCAAAGTCCTGAGTTTGATCCCTGGTACCAAAAAAAACAAAACAAAACAAAACAAAACAAAAACCCAGAAAAAATTTTTGACAATTTTTTTTTTCTCTTACAGTCATTAGTTCTTTAGAGTTTGGATTTTGTTTTTCTTTTTTTTTCCTTTTTCTTCCTCCTTTTAATTTTTTTCCTTTTTCCTTTTTTTAAAAAATTTGTTTGTGTTTTTCTGTTACTCTTCTCGATTAATTTTTTTACTCCTTAATAGGATCTTTTACCTGAGTTTCCTCTCCTCCTTCTCATCTTCCATTGATTAAATTTTCAATTTTACTTTTTAAATTTCCTCATTCCCTGACCCTCTATCTTTACTAGTATAGCCATTAAGCTTTATTAATTTTTAGGTAATTAACTCTAAGACATTGATGTTGAATACCTTTCTATTATTTGTGAAAGCATAGTTGTTGTATTTAGTAGATATTTACTGTATGTCAATATTTGGTTTGTCTCGGTGTTCTGCCTTTGAAGCTATTATTGTTGCTGATTTGATTGCTATTACCAGAGTGGCATACTTGTTGCTATTAATTAGTGTTCTCTGTATGACATTATCCAGGTTGCATGTGTGTCATTAATAGTGCAGCCCATTCCTGGAGAACAGGGTGCAAGGCCAATTACACTGCAATCTTCCCTCTCAAATTAACAGAGGTGGCTAGATCTTGGGACAGAGGCAAAAATCTATAGTTAGCCAGACCCAGAGTGCATCACTCAAAAGCAGACTAACAACAAAGGTCTCCATTCTAGCAACAAAATGTTTCTACTATAATCAACCTGGAAACTACAGCATAAAACAAAACAAAAAATAAATGGAATAGTATCAAATTAAAAAGCTTCTAGGGCCAGGGATTTAGCCTCACAAGTGCAAGGACCCGAGTTTGATAACCTGGTACCAAAAAGAAAAACAAAAAAACAAAAACATGAAACAATCACCAGAGTGAATACACAACCTACAGGATGGGAAAAAATTTTTTTGCCAGCTACTTTTTGAAGAGAAGGTTTAATAACTACAATATATGAAAAAATTAAAAATATATCCCCTAAAATAAAAGATTCAGTAAAAAAATCAGCAACTGAAATGAACAGACACTTTTCAGAAGAAGTTCAAATGTTCAATAAATATAGGAAAAATATTTGACCATTTTGGCTATTAGAAAAATGCAAATAAAAAACACAAGATTTCACCTTACTCTAATAAGAATGGTGAAAATATATATATGTGTGTGTGTGTGTTTTGGTACCGGGGATTGAACTCGGGCCCTTGTGCTTGCAAGACAGGCAGGCAGATCCACTGAGCTAAATCCCCAGCCCGAGAATGGCTATTATTAAGAACTCAAGAAACAAATTCTGGCAAAGTTGTGGAGAAAAAGGAACCCTTCTATAATGTTGGTGTGAATGTAAACTAGTACAACCACTATGAAAATCAGTATAGAGATCTCTGTTTTGAGACAGGACGCTGCCCCGTAGTTCAGGCTGGCCGTGAAGTCACTGTGTAGTCCAGGCTGATCTTGATCTCATCGTCATCCCCTTGCTTCAGCCTCACTTGTGCTAGGATTACAGGTGTGTGCCATCACGCTCAGCGTGGAGGGTTCTCAAGAACACTGAACATAAAAATGCCATTTGACTCAACTATTCCTCGTCTGGGTATCTTTCCAAAAGAGTTAAAGATGTCATATACTACAGCGATATATGTATACCTATATTTAGAGCAGCATAATTCATAATGCCAAAATCTTGGAAGTAGGGTATATGTCCATCATCAGATAAATGAATATAGAATAATGTGATGTTTATAAACAGCAGACTACTACTCTGCCACAAAGAAGAATAAACTTGGGTTATTTGTTTAAAATCCCAGATGCATCTTGAGGTCATAATGGTAAGTAAAGTAAATCAGATGCACAAGTTTAAATATCACACAGTTTCTCTTACATGAGAAACCCAAATGTAAATAAAGAACATGAAAGACAGATGATAGGAAACAGAGAGATCTTCTGCAAAAGAAAAGAGGACCAGAGATGGGGGGGAGGGGAGTGGAAGTGAAAAAAGAATTAAGAAGTATTATGCTCATGCACCAAAGTCCTAAAAGGAATGGTATCATTATGTACTAGACTAGGAGGATGTATTAACAAAACAAAAGAAAAAAAATTCATGGCCACCAAACAAGCACTGCAGAAAACACTCAAGGGAATTCTAAACAGAAACAGTGAGTGAACATCACCAAGGGGCCCAAAGAAAAGAATACTTTGAAAAGAGTAGTTAGACAAAAGGAAAAGGAAAAATCAACCTTGAAAATATAAGGATAGAGTCAGTAAAAACCTGTCAATAATAATGTTTGTGTGAATGATCTTAATTCCCCTAATCAAAAGACCCAGACTGGCAGACCTGTTCTAAAGACAAAACCTAACTATACGTTGCCTGGAAGAAACATAACTCACCATAAAGAAACACAGACTTTACATGAAAGATGTAAAATACTCCATGCAAACCAGTGTCCAAAAGCAAGCAAACAACTACCTAATATCAGACAAAGTGGACTTCAAGCCAAAACTGATGAAAAAAGGTCACTACATATTGGTAGTGGGTAGAATTCATTAGGAAGAGATAACAATTATAAATATAAACATAAATTATATATATGCACTAAATGTCAGCATACTTAATTGCATAAAACAAAAACTTCTTTACTTAAAAGGATCAACAGACATCGGTACAATTATAGTGTGGGAATTTAATAGCTTTCACAAATAGGTCAGCCAAACAGGATTCAACAAAGAAATATCAGAGTCGAACCATGCTACTGAACAAAAGGACCTAACAGAGAGCTACTGAGTGCTTTATCTGAAAGCCATGTAGTGCATATACTTCTCAGCAGCCCATGGTACTTTCTCTAAAATAGAACATCTTAGGTTACAGAGTATATTTACTTATTTATTTTTCCATCAAATTTACTGGTACATTTAAAGCAAACAATACAGTTACATTTATGATTGGGATCTTGTGCCTTTACAGGATACATGTACATGATATATCTTGGTTCTTGTTTTTTCCCATACCCCTGCCCTCCCCTCACCCTCTTTACCCTTCCCTATTTACAAAGACTTTGTTTCCATTTTTTCACATACATTTAAATAAATATAAAAGAATGGAAATAACCTCTTGCATCCCATCATATCACAATGGAATAAAACTGAATCCACAGGAAAAGAAACCACACAAATTACATGACCACATGAAAATTACATAATACTTTCCTGAATAATCAATGAGTTACAAAAAAATCAGGGAAGAAACAAAAATTTCTAGACTTAAGTGACAACTGAAGTGCAATACACTGAAACCTGTGGAACACAATAAAGGACTTTTAAGAGGGAAGTTTTGCTCTGAGTGGCTACATTAGAAAAGTAGACTATTACTGAATAATCTAATGTTGATGCATCTCAAGGGCCTAGAAAAACAAAAGCAATCCAAACTCCAAACCTATTGAAAGTAACTATAAAGATCAGAGCAGATATCAATAAAGGATGAATGAATCACAAAATAGTTTCTTTCAAAGTATAAATAAGATGAAAAAAAACACCTTTAACCAGATTTAGCAACAGAATAAAATGTCCATCTCAATGCAATTAGAAGTGAAAAGACAAGCTGGGCGTGGTGGCTCATGCCTGTAATCCCAGCACTTGGGAGGATGAGGCAGGAGGATCGCTGTGAGTTTGAGATCAGTTTGGGCTACAGAGTGAGTTCCAGGGCAGTCTCAACTACATAGAGAGACCCTGTCTCAAAAACAAAAACAAACACCAACAAAAAGAAGTGAAAAGACAAAATCACAATGGATATTGCTGAAATCCAGAGGTTTATAAGAAACTATTTTGGAAAGTTCACAGTCCAATGAACTGAAGAATCTAGGAGAAATGGATAAATTTCTAGACACTTGACTTACCAAAGTTGGACGAAGAAGATATAAAAGCCCTGAGTAGTCTGATAGTAATCAATGAAATGGATTGAGGCAGTAATAAAAGTATAGTACCTAGGAAAAGCCCAGGTCCTGATGTCTTCATTGCTGAAATTTGCCAGAACTTCAGAGAAAACGAATGCCCATACTTCTCAAACTTCCCCATGAAATGGAAAGAAAAAGAACAGTGCCAAATTCACTCCTTGAAGCCAGCATTACCCAACACCAAAACTAAGCGTTAGGGTTTAGATCTAGACTGTCCTCCAAAAGCCTCCTGTGTTCACAGGTGGGGCTTGTGGGAAGAGACTGGATCAGGGGTGTGCTATACTCACTGGCACAGGCAAGAACTTCCCGAACAAAAAAATCCCGAGTGCACAAGAAATAATTCCAAGAATCAATGTATGGGATTCTATCAAATTTAAGTTTCTGCACAGCAAAAGAAACAATCAACATGGAGAACAGGTAATCTACAGAATGGGGAAAATCTTTTTGCCAGATATTCTTCAGACAGAGGACTGATATCTACAATACATAAATGTAACACACAAAAAATCAGGTGCTCCTAAAAACAGAAGATTCATTCAAAAATAGAAGAGGTACAAATGGCTAATAGATATCTGAAAAATGGCCAGCATCTTTGGCCATTAGGAAAACACAAATCAAAACAACACTGAGATTCCATGTTATCCCAGTAAAAGTGGTTGCCCTCAAGGACTCAGAAAAACAAATAAAGGATATTAGCACATGAAATTCTGCACAGACTTCTGATTTACTTGATACCCACTTACCCATGTTTCTGTAATGGTCTCTACCTTCTGTTGTAACCCTCCAGTTTCTTATATCTTGGAACAGATTTCCGTTTTAAGGTCTGGCTAGGCTGTCTCTCTCTGGAGTATCATTTCAATAGGAATAGTTATTATTTTCCATTTTTTATCAAAGAGCCAAATTAATTTATAATTCCACAATGGTACTAAATGTATAATGATGCCTTAATATATTTTTCAAGACATTTATTTTCCCTAGCTACTCCAAGGGAAGCTAAAGCTTTTGCAAAATTTTTCCAAAATACCTAATACACATTAAATATGTGTAATCTTCACAGAGATATTACATAACACAACATTTCGACAACTTTTACCTTCTTTTGAGTTCTCTGGTTCCAGAATTCTCCTGACCGACACTTTGCATTCTAGCGTTTTCTAGATTGTGCCATCGTCTCCCTTGTTTGTATTTCAGAATCTCACTTTGCCACTCATCGTCAAATGCATGAGCATCACCTACATTAAATACAGAAGTAAAGAGAATATGTACGTAGGTATCAACTGTCAGTAAGTGCCTTGCTTTCCCTCCTACTGCATGCTGGCCTGGTGTTTTCTTCAGCTTACCTTCGAGACAGAGGTAGGATGCTGTTTTTTCGGTTAGGATAATATTCCCACTCCTATATTTTGTTCCCCTATTCCTACTGATGATCTGGTTTTCACTCACCTGTCTGGATATCATTTTATTCTACCCAATGGACTGGTTGACCCAATCACACTCAATCATGATCTGAATCTGAATCATTTCACAGTGGTGTTCCTGTAGTGGGATGCTTTTTTTTTTTTTTTTTTTTGGGAGGGTCTCCCTGGGTCTCACTACATAGTTGAGACTGACCTGGAAAGCCCTATGTAGCCTAGGCTGGTCTCAAACTCACAGCGATCCTCCTGCCTCAGCCTCCCAAGTGCTGGGATTACAGGTGACCACCATGCCCGGCTTGGGATGCTCCTTCTGTGGCTAGCATCCCTCTTCACCTCATCATCCTCCTGTTTAAACCTACCACATAAGCTCTGTAGTCAATTTCCAAAGACCAGATATTAACTCGGGCCTGCCAGTTTAGGGTGTCATGGAAATAATCTAACTTCCATAACAGCAATAAACATAATGACAGCTCCTGTTCTTTCACACTTTCCTTATCACAATGTTTTCCTGAAGTAAAATTTTCTCCAACGTTACTTATGGTGAAATAGTCAATGTAGGTTTATATTATAAAATTACAAAGGTTACAATGAAAGAAAGGGCAAGATATTGTGGCTTCCATCGTATTGCATAAGAATAATTTATCAAACCTACTTCAGTAGAATTCCTTTTTCTAAAATAATATAGTAGTTTAAACCTTTTATTCTGATAAAACATTACTCAACATAGATGATGAAAATAGTAGATGAATATGACTAAATTTCAATAATTTTACTTTTAAATTAAAATAACTATTAGTATTAAAATAAAATTAAAATTTGATTTAAATTGTTACTATTTTTAGTGTACTTACAACTATAATGAGAAGGGTTAGAACATTAGGAAGACCTAAAAGCATTGAAGAATGAATGTAAATCTAGAAAATGAAAGACTTACTTGATAAAATATATACATTATCTAGGGTACACCAGGAATTAAAAACTATACAAAACACCCAAGTTTTCAAAATACAAAATAGTTTAACTAAATTGAGACCCATTCATGATATAACATTTAGGTTATCACTTATAATGTTTTTTAAAAAATAATATGATGGGTGATTTTTACAATTAGAATGGTGAATTAAAATAAGCACAATATGGGGCGATGGATTTAGCTCAGTGGTTTAGCCACCTGCCTCTCAAGCTAAAGGGCCTGAGTTTGATCCCTGGTACAAATAATAATAATAATAATAAACACAATATAAACTATATATAAACACTAATTTGAAAAACATGATGTGTTAACACATATATAAAACTATCAAGAAAAAACACACTAAATCAGTATCAGTACTTACTTGGATTTGGCACTCTACATGACTTTTACTTTCTTCATACTTTTCAGGTATACTCCCTTGATAAAAATACTTCAATACTCATTTTACCTACTGGTAATATTACTAAACAACAATGCCAAATTCTATTTTCTAAGTATAAATCAAGAAAATAAATCATACCCCACACTGTCACAAAACACTGTAAAAACATCGTTAAATGACTAAACCACAGTTTTATTTCTTTGGTAGAGCATTCCTCGTACATGTTCTTCATAACCTACATCTTATGAAAATCAATCAAGTTCTGCAAATGTAGCTGATAGTTTAACTTTATAGGAAAGAATATCTTTGTAATAACTTACTTTCACTCATATTGATGAACTCTTGATTGACCTCTTCATCTCCAGTCTTCTTGTTCTTTGACTTTTTAATTACATGAGCTCGGTCATGGATATGATGACCCACAGCCATTTTTTCTAGTCCACTGTCAGAATCTCTCACTGCTTTCCTGGTTTCCTTTATCTGTAAAAATAAAATAAAATAATATATAAATTAGCTTATTTCTAAATTTCACAGAATCCTGTCATTTAATAAAGTAATCCATAGATCTACCCCTCCAAAGATAATGAATAACTAGCTGGCTGTTGTGGCACGGACCTGTAATACTGGAACTCTAAGAGACTGAGGCAGGAGGGTCACAAGTTCAAATCCCACCTGGCCAATTTGTAACTTAGAAAGACTCTATCTCAAAATAAAAAAAGACCTGAAGCTATAGCTCAATGTGAAGGCTCTGCATTCTATCCCTAGTACTACATTAAAAAAAAAAAGAGTAACTATACTCAATTCTATTACCAACTTACAGTAAAATTATAGTAATAGGTCCCTGATATTTCCTAAAATGTTTAAAGTAAAAATTTCTAGGACAAATATAATGAATAGGATTTAACCTTTCTCCAAATAACAATAAAATATTTAAAAAGGACTTAATTATACTTACTCCTCCTGGAGCCCTACGGGTTTGAGTTGAGGCCTGGAAAACCTTTGGTAGCTCATCTCCTATTTTGGAGTAAGTCATAACTGAGGAAGAGCAAAAGGAATGTCCATTTGGATCCACTGAAAGGTGATCCTACAGGCATAAAGAGATTATAAACTTAGAGTCAGGTCAAATCAAAGAATTAATGCAAAAGGGGTCAAATAAGTAACAAAAGTAGCTATCTGTTCTACTAAGGACAGCATACCACCAACACACTTATCCAACTGTCACCCCCATAGCCTCTTTCACTTTTTTTTTTTTTGGTACTGGGGATCGAACTCTGGTCCTTGTGCTTGCAAGGCAGGCATGGGAACCACTGAGGTAAATCCCCAGCCCCCTCCTTCACTTTTGATACAAATTTCCAGTCTCTGTAAAGTATAACAAGTGATCTGTTCAGATATCCTTAAGTCTTTGGGTCTTTGTACCTTATATTTAAATAAAGATGCTATGCCCTTAAAACCTGTGATACCTTATTACAGTTGAACCTTATTACAGTTGAACCTTATTACAATACTGTCAATGGTGAGCTAATTAGCTATGCTCCAAGGAGTTTCATTGGAGCATTCTGAAATAATTGATAAATCCAAACTAGATGACTAAATTATTTAAATCAAGTTATTTTTTTTCATATTATGAGTAAAAAAGTATGAGTATTAGTACTAGCTGAAAAGTACTGTATTTGGATTGTATGGATCTAATCTAGTACCTAAATATCATTCCTGAATTTTGTTTTCAGAGTTTTAGCAAAATGCAATGTCATAGGTGCTATAAATCCTTTTAAGCAGACAGGGTATAAATAATGAAAACATGAAAATTTATACAATATGTTCATTTACAAGAGCAACTCAGCAGAATGTTTTTAAGGCTGAATTTTAAAAATTGTGAATATTAACCAGTGTTATTTGTATAAATTGTAGGCTGTGAAATAAATTCAGTAGGACATTACCAGGATTTTTGAAACATGGAGTAAAATATAAACTATCAGATCATACTGTAAGTAGTACCGTCAGTTTTTTATGAAACCTTTGTTTCATATATAGAGTGTACACTTGTTATGTATATGTTACTCAGGTAAGATTTCTTTTTTCTAGTTATTGTGGACTATAGTTTGAAAGTCACTACAACTTAGGGTACGAGTAACTGAAAACAATATACTCATCACCTTATTTTTAGTACTTACAAAGTTTCTTTGTAATTCCTGCATACTGTTTCGCATATTTAGCATCATTCTGTCCATTGCTTGAAAAGGGCTCACATGTGTATGCTACAGAATATAAGCAAGTAATAGTATTAACTACAAGTACAACACAAATGAGTAAGTCAATCTTCCCAAAACAGCTAAAACCACTTTTTTCCAATTCAGGCACCAGTCAACCAGGCAGAAATAATTGAAGGACTATCCAATGAGAATGATTTATTAAAGGAACAATTGGAGCAGATGCAAAATCCCAAACAGCCAACAGAAGTGACTAGGGAATTATGAGACTATAATTATACCACAATTTTTACATGCATGTAAATATGAATATGCATACATAAATCATGCATAGCATTCTGTTGATAATATTAAATACTGAATGGCATATTTGGGGGCTGGAACAGTGCTAGCATAAGATAGCTTTTACATTCTTCCATTTTGCCTCTCATATTCCCGTCACGCAAATGAGTAAAACTCATTCCACCAGTATCCCATGGCTGATAGAAGCTGCCTCTCAAATAGCCAGCTCTCCTCTCACTATTTAGGGTTCAGGTGAAGGAGATTCAGCCCACTGTACCAACACACCTTCCATTTGCTGCTTCCTGAAGGATCAGTAGGCCACACCCTCGGAGCGTGAGGTATGACCATTCAGAAGAACGTTTAGAATTCCTCTGATTTCTCAAGCGAGATTCATTCTGATGTCCGGGGGACATGAGGCAATAACTATATTTACTCTGGGGGTTCACAGCTGAGAAAGGTGTATGACTGCCATCTAATGGGTGGAGACCTGGGATGCTGCAAAATATCCTATAACACACAAGACAGTTCCCAGACCAAAAAAGTATCTGGCCCAAAATGTTAGTAGTGCTAAAGGTTGAAACGTTTTGCTCTAGAAAAATCTGCCATTGACTTTAGATTTTTTTTCACTGGAATAGTCACCAACAAATAAAGGTTAGGCTATATTCTAGTGTATCTCCGGATGCATCATCTAATATAACAAAACAATGGAAATTGCCTGGTTAGAAGAACTCCTTCCTCTGCTCAAGCAGGAGCCTTCTGAATCCTGTGGTTCCATGCTAGTATTTTATGCTCCCTGGAGATTCTTTGGCTGTGAATCAAGCTTGACCTTGATAAAGAATTATCAAAGGCTTAGCTCTGCCTTTTATTATATTTTACTGTTAGTAAAATGGAAAAACAAATTTCTCTATAGAATCTGCACTCAATCCAGTAGGAACTAACAAAGGCATGTTGGAGGAGATACTGATACATCTCTAAGTACACAAAGTACTGGAATAGAATTAATCTAATTTCAGAGATTAATCACACTTAAAGAAACATTCCGAATTTTTAACACTAAATTGAGAATCAGAACCAGCATAAGAGATATAATTCATAAGAAATGGAGGCTTAATCCCAAAAAAAGGAAAAGAAAAGGAGGAGGATTAATTAGATGTTTTGTTCCTTCTACCCTATTTTTGGTTCACTGGTAAATTAGCCATCAAAAGGACTGTCAGCACTTGTCCCCTAGTTTGGAGCTGAGATAACAGTGGGCCTGGAAGACCTTCGGAAATTCTGTGTGTGTTCCTCTCTCTGCTTTGAGTGCTACCTCCTGATTTTTAGCATCATTAGTTCCTTCTCATCATTCAAGAATCACTCCTATAGAAAGGCTTCTCCTAGCACCTATATACCCCTTGCTTTGTTTCCCACCCATCTCTATGTCAGTACCATGCACCATCTCTTTCAGAGCTGTGTTTCTATCTGAAATTATTTTGTTGTTTAGCACCTGTTTTCTCACTTTATTAAAATCTGAGGGTAGAACTACCTTTTCTGTCTTATATTACTGTATCCCAATGTTTAAAAAATAATTCATAGCACATAAAATGGCTCAGTAAATGATGAATGAATTCAATAATCTCTAACTCTGGGTTGAGGATGTAGCTCAGTAGTAAAGTGCTTAACTGCCATGCAGAGTCACAACAACAGAAAAATCTCTAGCTCAACTCAAAGCCATATCCAACTCTACCTAGACAATGTACAGATTCCTCAAAAGTAAAGCACTCCAAATGGAAATGATTGTTTTGACAACCTACACATACAGGCATTATACTTCCCTTCTCCCTTTCTGTTGCTCCTTCAACCCAGTTAATTACAAATTCTAGGTACTCACCTCTTTGTCTTTCCAATGGGATATTTTTTCTCAACAACCACGGCCATTACCGAGTACAAGCTATTACTAATACTGTATACAAAGTGCTTCCAACAAGCCTCTTGACCTCTTTGCTCCATTGTACTCCCTTTTTCTTTTCTACAGACAGAATGATCTTTTTTTTCCTGGTACCAGGGATCGAACTCAGGTCCTTGCACTTGCAAGATAATCGTCCGAATCACTGAGCTAAATCTCCGGCCCACAGTGAACTTTAAAACATGAGACTATGAATTTGTCACCCCATTAATGAGTCCATCAACTGCTGCTCTTGTTCTTAAGATAATGTGCAGTCTTCACTCTCGCTTGAAGAAGTCTCCGGTTACTTCTCCACATTCATCATCTCTAGTAACTAGGGTCAAGTGATCCTAAACATCTTTCACCTCCCTTGGCTCTGGGTCTTTGTACATGTTTCTCTGTTGCACTCCCTCTTTCTTTCTCCAGCTGGCTTTTCCTGGCTCTCACGAATCTTTTAGACTAGTGAAGTCTTCTCTCCTTGACCCTATCATCCCCCGCCAAACTACCTCAGAAGATCTAAGGTAAATGCCTATTTTTCTATCTGTGTTCTCTCAGCACATCAAATTTTCTGATCATTTTAAACCCTGCCCCCAACCTCTGGTCAGGAAGGACAAATATATATCAAACTTCAGAGTGAGGAAGAGTTCAAATCCAGCATGAAAGAATTAAAAAAAAAAAAAACTTTTCATGAGTATAGATACAAATGTTCCAAAATCATGCTATTCTTTACTGCTCTTGAGATGTTTCTGTGTGGCCTGAAAACTAGCAACATAATCACAGGACCAAATCCCAGAGAAACAGGCATGGGAGAAATGGCTGTTGCAAAGCAGCCATACTTGTATAGGAGCAATAAAAGGCAACATGGACATGCTGGCAACAAGGTCCTAAATGAAGCTGCCAATCCTAGCTTTTCCAAATGTGCTTTTCACGTCTTGGAGAGCTGTCAAAGGCACATGACAGTCCTCAACTTTCAAATATAACTATGGGGATTATCTTTGCAAATCCAAAACATATTTATCTATATGAATCTGTTTTTTACTTTTGAATATTAATTTTTATATTTTATATGACTTCAGAAAACACGAGCCTAAATACTCTAAAACTTGAAAAGTTTTCAGTACAAATACTAAAAAGCCATTATGAAGCCATTCAGTACAAATACTAAAAAGCATGCCAATTCTATCTGGTTGAGTTAATAAAGCAATAAATATGTCAGAAAATATTGCTAAGATGATTGTGTCTTATGATACAAACCATGCCACCAAAACTTCCGAAAGGCACAAGAGAAAAGCTTGTTGCCTAGAGAGATACCCAGTTAATTTTGGTTATTATTATATAATAATCCTTGAAAAAATATATACTGTATAGCTACATATTTCAGAACTACCAATTATAAACACCTTTAGTTAAAAAGTCTCAGTGTGGGCTGGGGACTTAGCTCAGTGGTTCTGCCACCTGCCTTGCAAGTGCAAGGTCCCGAGTCTGATCCCCAGTACCAAAAAAAAAGTCTCAATGTATATTTTGGAAGTTACTGTATGGCTTTTATTCATTTTAGAACTTGACTGGAGTCCCATGCAAATAGAGAAGCCAAACCTATCTGCCTATGATGAGTCAGCACAAGACACATTCCATATTGAAACCTCATGATCAGGATAAAGTGTTTATAAAAGAGGCCTGAAAGAGGGCGTTTTCCCCCATTACCCTGTCCTGTGAGGACACAGCAAGAAGATGCTACCTATGAATCAGAGAGCAAGCCCTCACTTCACAGAGAATCTGCCAGCACCTTGATCTTGGAATTTCCATCCTCCAGAACTGTGAGACAAACTTTTGCTGTTTATAAGTTCCCCAATTTAAGGTATTTTGCTATTTTAGCACATGTGTGAGAACAAGGGAGCAATTATTTTCATTTTTCATTCAAATGTTGTTCTTGGTCTTCTTTTGCATTTAGAATTGTTTTCCTATTTTACTTTTCTTATCTCATCATCACTTTTATGAAATTATATTATGTTTACTTTGTGGTTCTTTTTTCTTGATTTAAATATGACACATGGAAAATACAAAGTTCTAAATTATGAATCTTTTTTTTTTTTTTGGTACCAGGGATCGAACTTGGGTCCTTGTGCTTCTGAGGCAGGTGGTAGAACAACTGAGCTAAACTCCCAGCCCTCTTATTCCACATTTTATTAAACAGTGCTTTAAGCAAAAAAATTTAGGAAAGAAACATTTACTTCTGCTTCCAGTGGATGACCAAAGTAGTTATAATGTGTTCAGGTAACTTCCAGTAAGAAATTTGGGGCTGAATTACAAACAGTTCTCATTTCTATACTTAGAATCAAGGTACTAAAATTGTCACTTCTTGCTTATTCCATAAAAGCCATATGTGGCTCATGTATACAGATAAATATAATAAATTACGTATAACCCTACTCTTTCCTTGCTATGGTTAGAGCAGATATCCAAAATATTTTAATACTTAAATGACTGCTCACAATTTGATTTCTGCTGTACTTGACAACTTTCCTCTGATATTAACAAAACTGTTGAGAAAATTGATCATCACTAAAAGTCTATATGATGATACTAAAAAGCTAATTTGAATGTGAATATACTGCTTGGCAATGATATATATGAAAACGATGTGAAGATTCATTTCAAGAGGCAAATTAACTGCACTCAACAAACTTCTTAGGAATAGCTAAGATATTTTACTTTGGTTATGCTTATTACAAAGAGCAAATATGAAATGATTTTCTAGAAGATTTTGGAAGTCTACTACTTGACCAATTCAATGTTTACTGAGTTCCAACATCTACATTTCAACTGCAGATATTCATCTCTATAGAAACCCCTGTGAATTTATTACAGAACTGCTGTTCCTGAGGCTGAAAAGGCAACAGAAACATAAAAAAAAAAAAAAAAAAAAAAAAAAAAAAAAAAAAAAAAAAAAAAAAAAAGATTAAGATATACAAACATCTGTTTTTAGTTGAATATGTTCATAAATGTTCCAGATTTGCTCTCAGATAGGACATACAAGAATACACTGCAGTAGTGCAAGGCTTCTGGGCCACAACTGAAGATTAATCTAAACTATGAACATCTAAGGTATCTGTGCAGAGGATCAGTGTTTCCTAGTGCAACAGAGCATTAACTACAGATTTCAGTACTATTTGAAAATATTGTTTATTTTACTTATTAGTACATATTTGCCATACATAACGATCACATTCCTCATAAGGAATTTGTACCTGTACATAATATAACTTAATTATTTTTTCCCCTTTTCCTTCCCCTCCCTTCAACTTTCCTTCTCCTCACAAACAAATATGTGGGATCAGCAGAGAAATTTCCTGTGTTTTAATTCAAGACATGAGAGGAAATTATAATGTGAAAAAATATATAAAAATAATGGTTTAAATTTTGATTATAGGGCTGGGGGGATTTAGCTCAGTGGTTTTGTCACCAGACTCGCGAACACAAGGACCTGAGTTCAATCCCTGGTACCAAAATAATACTAATACTAATAATACTACTAATAATAATTTTGGTTATAATATATAATTAATTCTATGGTCCTAAAAGCTTTGGTAGGCCAGTGGAATTTTTATATAGATAACAACTCATTATTCCAGGATTCTACTTTTCAGCAGGTCTCCTCTATGTGATAGACATTTCTGTATCACAATTAGTCACATCCTATCATCACGGATATCGTTTCTGCAATATTTTTCTCAAATTCCCATAGTACTTTCTCACTAAATGTCTTTAAAATACAGAACTTACAGTCAAGGAATCTTCTCCATCATCATGTCTTGTATGATTATGAGCTCTTCGTCTTCCATCAGAGATACTGAGCACATCTCTTCCAAAAGGTTCAGGAAACCTTCTCATCATGTGTTGCATACTTTCTCGGTGCTTAAGAAAAGAATCACTGCGGAAAATACACAGAATAATGTAGAATTCCTATAGTTTAAATAATAAATAGGCATAGTAAGTTTTAATAATACTACAAAGAATTATATGGAGCTAATACACTTGTTAAGGAGATATAAAAATGATTTAGGAAGACTGAATTACCTCATAAAGACTCACTACTTCTAAGCCCAACTTTTGAAAATCTGCTCTGTTAACCACTATAATTCAGTTATTATACTAAAAATACACATTTATCTCATATTGCATAAAAATGGCAAATGCAAAGTTACACATCTGAGGCAAATGGTAAGAAAGAAAAGAGAGAAAGAAAGAAATGAAGGAAGGAAGAAGGAAGCAAGGAAGGAAGGAAGGAAAAATCTGAAAATACTGCTACCATGTAGAGGACACTTGGGGCCATCAACAGTGTAGATTCTAACAAGGACTTTTATTCTTACTTATGAAATATGAGCACTGAAAATCATAGCTATATTAAGAACACTATAAAGACACAATATATATTTTACTAGACAAAGACAAAGGTACAGATAATATAGAAGTCTAACTTTTGTTTCAAAGAATTCTGAATACTAGAAATCATTGCACAACAGAAATGTCTGCTAAGTCTTAAAACACTGTTTCTCAAAAATTGTTTGAGATTACCAACCAACTAGTAAGTTAGTCAGCAATGCAGATTCCTGTTCATTCCCACCGTCAACATCCCGGTCAAATTTACTGGCTCTGGGTATGATTTGGTAGGTCCTCATGAGTCTTTGAGGAAACTGATCCTTCCGTGTTTGTGGTGCTAGAATATTAGAATTCGAGCTCCTCTTCCTGAGACTAAGTTGCCACAGTTATTTTTTTAAAGGATAATACTGAATATTTCTACTGTCAAGACTAAATCAGAACCAACCCATACAATATGCTGAATAGTTATCTTACCTTCTCTTCCTTATACATGGAGGCCATTTCCTCTTATTCTATCAGTAAACACCTCTCATGTAAAATATATGCTGTATCTTTTTAAAAAGGATAAATAATTTAAAAAACACACACAGAACAATGATTATGTTCCAAGCCCTATCCTAGGTGCTTTATAAACATAAATGCTCTTAATCTGATATTAACTTTCAGTACAAGTCTCAC